TAACTTGCGGTTGTATAGACCCCTCTGTTAAGAGGGACACTATAGAATACCGTCACGGTGCTGGCACGCGACACCGACTTGCCTACGTAAGCGCGGCTGACTCCGAGCCTACCTGTCCAGAAGTTATGTATCCTTTTGCGCAGATGCCACAGTGGTATGTCTACGAAGTCTCTTATAATGCTAGTAAGGAACCTAGCTGCTGAAGGGTCTTTGGGTACTTAACAGTACATAGAAATCGTTATGCATATTCTATCCCCAAAGGCAAGAAGGGCCCCTTTGTGTACGGATGCGTAGCTCTATTATTCTATATCTCGGCGTAAAATGATATTATAATACCATCTTACACAGGTCCAAGACCACTACAGTCAAGATAAACGGCAACACGGTGTTTTGCATCATTTGGATTACATTTCTCTTTTCTACTTGTTCCACTGTGGCGTCATTAAAGCTTGCCTAATCCGTAAACAAACATGGCGTGAGCGCACCCGACTTCGCAAAGCTGTCGTGTACTTAAGGATACCAAGAATAAGGTTCGTTCATACCCACTGGCCAATACACCGTGCCCAAAATTGAGAACCGAGGCGTTTACACTCTCTGCCACTCAGTGCCCCTCGGCTGCGGCTTTCGCGAGAAAGCGGCAGAAGAAACAGACAGAAACCCGAGGGTCCAGAAGCGTAGTTGTCTCATCCATTTCTGACAGGGCCGTACGCCATCTAGAGCTCGTTCATTGTTCTAGTCTTTTAGACTTCATATCACCGCCCGTTGAAGTAGATACCACACTCATGGTTTTCAACAACCATCCCGCTACTTCTATCACAAAGACGGCCATTTTTGGATGCTTGGAATGTGGGGGCTTGGGGACTTTGAGTGGCAGGAACGGATCGCGATTGTCCAAACCATGTGGAGCAACACACTAGGAGTCTCTATCTCCAAGCTCCTTGGCTGAGGGAGAGCAGGCCTGCAATGCAATCCATATCTCCCTTCTTACTTGGACTGACTTCGCCGCCACGCATGAACTTCTCTACCTCTTCTGACTCCTTTGGCGCAGGGGAGCCACGGCCATCTTCAAAGATTGTCAGATCCTTCCCTGAACTTCGACGTGCCATAGCCGATATCGGCCTGGCACGGTTACCGCTGAAAATAGCAGGCATAGAATAGTCTTGAAGAGCCCGCCCCGTGCGCCTCGCATTGGCTTTGTTACCGGCAATATTCGGCAATGGCCTTCTGACATCAGATAGCGGCGCCGTTTGACGCGGATTGCCGTTGGCATCAGGGCTCCAGTTCTCCTTATCAGAGTCGCCTGGAGATATCATCTTGTTAACTTTTACTTTGTCGCCTGAGATATTTTCATCGTTTAGCTGAGTTATCGACTTCTCGCCATCACCAAGCGGCGTTTGCATCCTGGCCATGCTGGAAGACGTCCGACTGAGCCTAGGCTTCTTGGCCTGCTGAGACCGAGGCGTTGATCTGCTGCTTGGGCAGTTGCGCTTGGAATTATTATTTTGAAGAATACCGCTTGTTGAACGGAGGAGGTTGATGGCGGCAATGGCGGAGCCGTTGGACTCATTTTCGGCTTGTGCGGTAAGCTCATCGCGACTGTCCGCGTCACAGCACAGCTCCCACGCGTGCGCGTCACGAGACCGACCACGCCCCAGTGTAGGTGGTAGGAAGTCAGTAAGGGCGGTGATGGGAGGTAAAGTCACGCTAGGGAGTGCACTGTGACTACGCTGGAGTGGTCGAGACAATCTAGGCTGAGGTAGAGCTGGTGACTCTGAAAACAGTCTAGTAGGCTGCATCCGAGGAGGCGAAGTCTCGTTGGAGACGAGCTCAGCTTTGCCTTCGAGGGAAAGTGAGAGCCACACAAGTGACTGCTGTGAAGACTGAGGAGGGGGTAAAATACGCGCTGCAGATGCGACTGATGAGCAAGATGAGGGAGGGCACTGCTCGGATCTGACGCCATGTAAGTAGGAATGCGGAGAACAGACTGGATAAGGCATACTTGGGGGTATTATCAACGCTGCGGTTCAGCGTTGAGGGCGTTGAGAAGGAACTCGTGGGGTTCCAACGGTTTGTCAGAAAGCCGATAGAGCTGGAAAAAGAGAAAGATCCGGTTGATTGCGGCAACGAAGAGTCCGTGGCTTGAGATGTTGGCGTTTCCAGGGTCTTGGCATCAGCACTGGTCGTTGGAATAGACGGCGTTGCGAGTTGAAGTTGCTCATGCGCCTCAACCGTTGTGGATACGGATTTGACTGGGGTTTCTGCTGGCATAGGCACCTTCATGGTAGCAGCGTCTGCCACTGGCGACGCCTTCTCTTCGGGCAGAGAGGGGCTATATGTAACAGGGTCCGACGAGATGATTTGCATGCCACCGTATCGAAGAGCAGCAATCTCCTGGGCAGAGAGCGGACGCGACTTGCGTCTGTCGTTCTGTCGACGGTTTTGAAACCATATCTAACGATCAAAGATCAGCAAAGAACACGCGTCACGGCAGGGTTGGAGTCTTACCTGAACTTCTTTTTCGTTAAGAGAAACGCGTTTCACGATGTCCAGGCGCGCTGTCTTGTCCGGTTTCGGATTCGCGATGTAGGCAGCTTCGAGGATGGACTTGTCTTTGGCACTGTACGCACGATTGAGGAACGAATTAGTGTCCGCAAAACACACAACGCAACTCCATTCAGTGTCTGCACGGCTACTTACGCCGTCCTCTTCCTCTTCCCCTTGGGGTGTTTTTCAGAGTCGGCATTTGACACGTCTGTTTTAGCTGACGACGAGGGCACTACATCGGGAGTTTGCGCTAGGTCGGTGACGGCTTGTCTTGTGGGTGTCTGCGCAGCGTGTTCTGACTGGGCGGGAAATTCGCCTGAGGGCGGGGAGGACGAGGATGGTGCTGCAGCAGTCGAGACCGAAGGAGATGCATCGAAGGCGGGCATTGCGGTGGTTTGAGCTAGGAGTGGTGAACGATAGTCATGATCCAGGGTCGAGATAGTCGAACGAGCCGCGAAGGTATGTGAAGGGAAAGAGAGCAAGCACACAAGGCAACTGTGGTTTAACAAAACAAACAGGAAATGTTCCCAGAGGTAGAGGAAACCTTGGAGGAAATAGAAGAGGAAGAATGACGAAGCGCGCGTGAGATAGAGAGAGAGAGAGAGAGAGAGAGAGAGAGAGAGAGAGAGAGAGAGAGACAGAGAGGCTAGGTAGTGTTTCTCAGGAACGGGCGAGGTGGGGAAGCAGGAGCGTCGACACACGAGGCGCGGTTAGTTGTGGTAATTTAGTGAGGGTGTGTTGCAGTACCAATTGCTTGTGGTGTTGAACGCAGCCCAGCGCGTCGAGGACCCGACTAGGTACCTATGGAGCCCTTACACGCTATGGAGACGTGGATAGTGGATCGGATGTACCTAAACACTCTAGTCCGATGTAGGACTACGAAAAGCGCGATTGCGGCACAAGTCCCCAGGCCAGGCCCCCCCACTGAGATTGGGATTATGTAATGACCGCCTTTACATAACTCAACCCAGCACATGTCACTGGTATTAATGAATTTTAGGCATGTAATGCTTCTCGTGAGTATCGTCGTGCTTTTGGCCATTAGTAGTGAGAGAAAGGTCAAGACCGCTCCTCATGCTGCGCGCGGCAAGTTGACAGTGCACGCGCCCCATGATTAACGAAACGGAAATAGAAATTCGCCCCAAATCTCTCAACAATATGGTCTCGAACGCGTGGAATCCACCTTGCATGATGTATCCTTGGACGCTGCGAGCACTCACTAAGAGACAAGTGGTGCTCTGTGGCCCTCACGCATTGGAGGCCCGAGCCAGTCAAGTCGCGTGTCTGTTTTCAATTAGGAAATAAAACAACACTTCATCTTTGGTATCCCGGGGCTACTGCATACTGCCGCATTACGTAGCTAGCTCGATTTAACCTAGGTAGATGCTCTGTTTCGCCAACTTGCTTTTGGTCTGGTTACCTTGCCTTTTTTGCATTGCTAAGTGAGAAAGCAACCTCATAACAGTACAGCTTAGAACCATTACAATTACCTCAGTTGTCAACACAACCTTTCTCGAATCGTTGGCCTCTATCCATCCGTCTACTCACATTTGCGGACAAATCACGCCCCCGCCCCCACCCCCCACACACTCTCTCTGTCTTGTCTGACATAAGTGCACAACACCAACCGCAACTTAAATATGCTGCTCTCGTCTCCCTCACTGCTCAGCAGACATATTGTCGCATGTGACTGACTTAGTGATTGACTGACATCAGACCGTCCTTGTTTCCGCATCTGAGTTGCAATAATACATAGATGATTGCACCAACCAACATAGTTCCACTCTAAATACGGATACAAATGCCAGACCCTAAAGCAAACCGGATCCGATATCCATTTCACAACTTCAATCATAAACCATACGTTTTCTTCCCGCTCGCGTGCATCTCATGTCCTGCTGAGCACTCCCAAACCCTGTCCAAGATTACCCTCCAGCCCCCAAGACGCGTCGCTAACCCCTGGTGCTACTGGCCCACCTTTCCCCAGGGCTGGCCTACTCTTTGTACTCGCTTTAAGAACGCGTCTATGTATGGCACGGGTGCCACCCATCCATCCATGTGGATGCGGTCGGCCGAGAAGGCTGGGGAAACTATAGTTGAGCCTCGCAAGCTTTTTTGCCGCCTTCATCAGCCAATCCCTGTCCTGTGCATTGTCCAGATACGTGTAGCTACGGATCAACATAACAACAGGTCTGTATGGTGTTTTATTCTGATGAAGCATCCTTCGCCACAATGAGTCTGTGTAACTGACTGTCACCTAGAGCTGCTAGGCCATGCCACATCGCAGCTCAGGTCGCTCGTTGCTCACCAACCGCATGCGATCGGAGACACCCAGGTCCGTTGTATTCTAGACTGTCATCCACAGAGAACCTCACATTATACGCTCGCATCGGTTCTCAGCCTAAACATAACGTAGATCCAAGAGCATATCTCTCCGACCTTTCATTGGTGGACGTCCATCTACTTGACCATTTATGCCCAGCTGATCATTGAATTGCTATCTAATTAAATGCATCGCGATGTCTGCCGAGACTTGCACACAAAGTAAAGAGCGGGACGACTGTATCCCGAAACACCTTGGTGGAAGTGTAAGGACTCAGTGTTCATCTTGTAAGGCGTCAAACTACTCAAAGTATGCTGGCCGTCTAGCAGCAAGTGTAACCCACCCCCCAATCCAGCTCCGAGTCTACCAAATGAACCGGCCGTGCCGTCTTCTACCATAATGGCCATGACCAGCAATTGCCGGCCTGCGCCTGAAAACTCCGGTTCACGATGTCCTGTCGACCACTCCACCGCGGTTGGATTATGATCCATGCCACGTTTCTATCTTTACAAGTCATCGTCCGAAAGTTCACCAGGCAAAGGCATCTGGGCAGCGTCGTCCATCTCCTTGCGGTACTGCTCGAGGAGCTTCTCGTCGACCTGGGCGGTGGGAGGGGCCAGAGCCGGCGCGGCAACGAATTCCTGATCCAAGGTTAGCACGTCCGTCCCAAGCCAAAGCTGGCGCGAATTGAGAACTCGGGAGGATTACTCACCAAAGCGGGGTTGCCGACGAGCTTGCGTGCGAGCCAGAGGAAGGGCTTCTCGAAGTTGTAGTTAGACTTGGCGGAGATATCGTAGTACTGGAGGTTCTTCTTGCGGTGGAAGGTAATGGTCTTGGCCTTGACCTTGCGCTCCTTCACATCGACCTTGTTACCGCAGAGAACAATGGGGATGTTCTCGCAAACGCGGACGAGGTCGCCTGGACACAAATGTTCATATCAGTGATGTTGCTCAAAAAAAATAGGACTCTGGGATCGAGCGTCGTCGATTAAATATCATAATACGTACGATGCCAGTTGGGGACGTTCTTGTAGGTGATACGGGAGGTGACATCAAACATGATGATACCGCACTGGCCGTTGATGTAGTAGCCGTCACGGAGCCCACCGAACTTCTCCTGACCGGCGGTATCCCAGACATCGAACTGGATCTGGCCGAAGTTCTGTGTAGGTTGCGTTAGAAAGCTGAAAAACACAAGACAAGCGAAAGTTAACTGCAATTCACATACCGTAGTGAAGCCCAAGGGGTGAACCTCGACACCAAGGGTAGCCATGTACTTCTTCTCAAACTCACCCGTCAAGTGGCGCTTGACGAAGGTGGTCTATGCCATAGAGTAAAGTCAGCAACAGTCTAGGAATGGAACCGAAAGGACACATCATATTCAGCGTGACCCGACCAAATGTCACTGATTGGCGCACCGAAGATAAGGGCCACGAGAGACGAAGGGACATTGTATACTCGCCTTTCCGGTACCGCCATCGCCGACAAGGACGAGTTTGAAGGTGGGAGTCTGGGCGGCAGCCATGATCGCGGGTCGGTGGAAGAGAGGCTCGGTGCGAGTTGGATGTAAACAAGCGGGGCTGATCGAGGGGTTAGCAAGTTGCGCGAAGCAGACCAAACGAGCGAGATGGTGAATTCGTCAGAATGAGATGGAAGATAGCGGCGTGACTAGGGAGACAGGCAAGAATGTACCGTGAAAAACAGCAGAAATGGGCTGTAGACTTTGACGTGTGGGAATCGTCACCGATCGATCGACTTTTGGGGGGGTGTTGTTTTTGAGGATGGCGGGGAGCTTGCAAGGAAGCCGTACTTCTTAAGCGAAAATTTCAGTCAGGCAGGCCACCAGAGTCGGGTAGGCACGATTGGGCTAGGCGTCTGTCACGTGCAGCGCTGTCTCGTCATAGCGGGGATCTTGTCGTGGCGGAACCCGGGGAGATGAGAGAATAAATAAAAATAAGAAAGAAAAAAAGCCTGAGTGCCTGCCTGAGTGTCACTGTGTCAGTGACAGAGGCAAGGAATTATCCCGGTTGCCACTAGTCCTTACTCGGAAATGGCAGAAAATCGTCTCGTGGTCCCGCCGGTTTGTCACTGCATTGACGGAGGGGATAAACCGTTCTCCATTGCCTCAAGATTGACCCTTTACTTACTTCATGAACCCAAGCTCTCTTACATTGTTGCACCATCCATCTTTCTGTCAAATCAAGGAAAATCATTTTAAGATGTAACCTGAAAGACTATTTCACGTCGCTAAAATCAACCTCTCAAGCGCTCGTGCCTTGTCCAGTGGGCAAAGATCTTATCTTACGTGATTTTTTGTTTCCTGGGTCAGTTCTAGTCGCCTTATCCGTACATGTATGAGCATCACAACGGACTTGGTTGCATGATGCCTGGTGGAAAATCTTCGATCCTTTTCGCTCAAGGCCAGGGAGCTCCTTGTGCCTTTGCTTTGTAATCTGCTTGCCAATCCTCAACTCTCATTGGTTGCTCATCTGTAGGCAAAAGGGGTTCTCTTCGACCTGACAGCCTACCCAACTCTCTTCCTGACTGATATTGCGGCCGTGTCAGACTGTCCGACCAGGTTGGCCCGATATGGGATTCTGTCTATGTCAGGCACCTTTCTTAGTGGCAATCCGAGCTCATATCCATGGGTTCTAGGAAGGTCGGGTGAATGAGCGCGCGAATCCCAAGAGCCGGTGGTGAAGAGCCTTCTTTCTTGAAATTGATAGCGCCTGCTCGTGCCAGAGATTAAGTCAACGATTGTGTAGAATTGTATCTATAGCTGTACATATCGCACGCTCTGTTACCTCAAACTTCGATTTCATGAAGTAGCGACAACACCGCCGAATCAGCTTCCCAACATCATTGGAGAGGCAGGATATGACAACCTAACAGACCTCTGCCACCCCAGTTGCGCCTTGGCGTTAGTGTGAGCTGCAGTTCCTGACGCGCGCCGGAACTAGGCCGCGATACTCTGACCGATATCGGTTGCTTGCAACTTGTTAGCTTTCTATGCATACATTTTATTAACACGAAAGTGAGAGATTTGACAAACTCACATCTTCATTCCCTTGAACACACTCAGCCACCTTCTTTAGATTGTCATGGTTTGAGCGGTTAACATATCCAAAATTGCGGATTTCATCGGCTGGCTTCAGACCTGCTGCCTCAGCTGGGCTTCTTGATACAACGCTGTTGACCTTGGCGAAGGGCTCTTCAAGCGGTTGAGGTGTAGAGTGATTCGTCAGAAAACCAGCACTTCCCGCAGGCTGGACTTCAGGCCCATCGTCCTCTTGTAAGCTAGCAAAGTGCTCATGAAGATGCTTCTCAATCATGGTCATAAGATCTTTGTAATCGTTCCGCAGGTGAATGATACGAGCTCTCGTGGTACGTACTGTGCTAAATAATCAATTACTTTGCTTGATAGGTGCTAGACCGGGCTAGCTTACCTTGAGCAACATCGATGTCTGATCTCGGGAAGCCATCTCGAGTTGTGAGGGGGGTATTCATGTCGGCTCCATGCTGGGTTGCAAGTCAGCTGGCTATCCGCTTATGCTCATTCACTTAGACGGAAGGTGTGAAAGAACGTTCTACACACAGAGTCGAGGACTGCGCCGAGAGCTTTCAGTTCAGCCTCCACGCCATCCTTCTTTTTCTGGAGCTCTGAGAAGGTGAGACGGCCGGAACGACCGTTGGCCGTCGTCGAGTTAATAGTCGGGCCTGACGGCACTGTCGGAACGTGTATGTCGTTCATCCTGAGGGGCAATCCCATCGTCTACGAAGAGAGCCGACGGGAACAGTCGTAATATGCAGCGCGTACCAAAATCGTTGGTTCTCTTCACAGAAAAAACTTGCTTACGATGGTTATTTCCGTTGTCTTTTTGTCGTCTTATTGCCTCAGATCGAGAAACTGTCGGGCGCAATTACCTAGTCGGAATGTTGCTCGAGGATTGTGCTGCAGCAGAGGAGCGTGATCTTTAATTGCCCGGCGCTGTTAGGCAGATCGGCTGACGGCAGGCTCCAGTGAGCTGTCGGCAGCGCAACAAAGCAACCGGAAGGTGCGGGGGTCTACGGGAAGCTACGCAGCCGATTACACTACCTGGCGGCTACATAGGTAGGTACCTACCGACCCAGCCGGACCTGCTATCAGTGGAAGCGGCTATGTGTACCTGAGGCATCATACAGCCCTCCTACCTAGATAGGTACGGATATATGTATGCACAGGTACCAGTGCCGACGCGTGCTGACGCAGCTTCGGCTCCAGATCCACTAGCTCCAGCTTCCAGCTCCGACCCCAGCTTCTGCTATCCGACGATATCTAAACCAACGTGACAACCCCTTCACTACTCCCTTCTCTCGGAAAGGTTTTTGCTTCTTCGCCTAGAGGTAATTTGCCAACCATGGCGACAGGAGTCGATGCAAAACTTCTCAAGTCCACCAAATTCCCCCTGGAGTTCAATCAGAAGGTTGACATGCAGAAAGTCAACCTTCAGGTGATGAAAAAGTCAGAACCTTGCCCTTCTTTTCCATTGCAGTTCAATAACTAAACTTCTTTGCTCCAGGTGGATCGCTAGCAAGATCTCCGACATACTAGGCAGCGAAGATGATGTGGTTATTGAGCTTTGCTTCAACTTGATTGAAGGATCTCGATATGTCAGTCTCTCTCCCGTTCTCGTTGATGTTTGCTAACGACTCTGCAGCCCGATATAAAGTCGCTCCAGATACAGCTCACGGGATTTCTGGATAAAGACACGGCACCATTCTGCAAAGACCTATGGAATTTATGCTTAAGCGCTCAAACGAGCCCTCAAGGCGTGCCTAAGGAACTGCTCGAGGCCAAGAAGCTGGAATTGATACAGGAAAAGGTACATGCAGCTGTATCTTCGCCCAAGTGGAAGACCAAAGCTAACACTGTCAGATGGAAGCCGATCGTGCTGCAGACGAAGCCCGCCGACGCCGAGAAGATGCTGAAAGACGCGAGCAAGAAGCCCATAGATTGAGAGATCGGGATCATGTCGAACGCGGTCGTGGCCGTGGTGGAGATACATGGCGTGGTCGGCGAGGTGATAGAGATCACGATCAGCGAGGTCGATATGGGCCGCGTTTCGGCGACCATAGATCGCGCTCGCCGGGGCCGAGGCATCGCAACCAGAGGGATCGAGGCTCGTTCCGTGGGTCTGCACGAGACAGCTACGTCCCCAGAGACAGGCCAAGTAGCGGCCGAGGATCAGGGCGTCGCCGTCCCACCACACGCTCACCTTCCTCGATATCTGCTTCTTCACGATCTCCATCTCGAAGTCGGAGCGCGGAGCGCAAACGAGGGTTGAGTCGTGAGTCTCCCTCTCCGCCCGCTCGACGACCTCGGCGAGAGCGCAGTACAATCAGCCCCAGACCCGTGAGAAACCGATCAATGTCATCGAGAAGGGGTGGAATTGATCCTCGCGACTCGCGGCGGAAGCGGAGATCAACGAGAAGCCTATCAACGCGGTCGCCATCGCCTGACAGACGACCAACTACCAAGCGGCGCAGGTACTCCTCGTCTCGGAGTCGTTCCCCAGGTCACAAAAGACAACCCCGCAGCAGATCCTCAGGTTCAGAGTCATTGCGGAGCTCTAGGTCTAGGGATCGAAGTCCCGGGCACCGTCCGTATCGTGGCCGTGCAAACTCGAAGCCTCGCAGTGGCGCCGGAGGCCGCCGTGATAGTAGCATACCACGCTCTCCAGACAACGAGACCCGCAACAGAATGTCAGATGAAGAGGAGCAAGATAGCAGTAGAAAGGGTCGTCAAGTAGATGATTTGAGCGGGGGCAGGAGACGAGGCTCATCGCTCGCTTCGTCGAGATCAGCCGATCACTCTAAAAGATGAACCGTACAACCATGGCCAGCTTTTCCGCAGGCTGCACCTGTTTCAACAGAGGTGGGTGATTGTCTTCCCAGAAGCGGTTGATCCTCTGGAGGTCTCACTGACACTAGCCACTCAGAAGCGATCAGACGCATACGGCCATGATGGGCGGCATCGGCACAGATGGCTGGCTGTTTGGCGAACAATAACCCGATCAGAAGATGATAAGCTTGAAACTGTTTCTTTTAGCAGCAGCTGAGGCTAACCATCTAAGAAGCTTTGCCCAGTACACATAAACGCGAGATCTCTGTCTGCTCCAAGGGTGATAAGGGGTCAGGATGGCGCAATATGCCTGATTTGGTACGTTGATTGTATTTTCTCTAGCCCCATAGACATACCTATATTGCCCACCCAAACTCCGGAAGTTGTTGCCTGGTCACCCTCATGCTTTTCCCCTTGAATTTGCTTGCGAATCGCGCTAGTCCGTTGTCAATTCTCATTGCTATTGCTCTGACTCTTACAACTTCTACTCTGTATCATGAATAGATGGACTGCCGTCAATATCCAGGTGTCAATCTTACTCCGATATGAAGATATCTGTGACTATAGCATTTCAAGTGCATCATTTTATGGGGCCTCTACGATCAACCTCGTCCGTAGCTATTCACCCAGATAACTTGAACACAAATCTTCAATGCTGTATTGAACTATAGCAAGCTGTATATATATATATTACAACGCCGCTACAATTTACTCTATCGTTCGAAAAACGGCTTGCCAATATGGCCATGTACTGAGTATCGAAAACATTGGGACGTCGGTATGTTCAAGATTTTGCTTCTACTGCACCGTGCGGTTGGGCTTTAAGGCAACTAAACGTCTCCGCGCCTGGTTAGCTCGACGCTGAGCCCGTCTGAGAGCGCGCCACCATCCTTAAACACACCTTGTCTCGTTCATCGCTTATTCTTATGCCAAACAACATACCCTCGCTCTGTCGCGACTACGCATTAGATTTGAACTATACAGTTTCGCTGTCTTATATGCTCATGTCACTTATCAAGTTCTGCACACCAATATCCGGTCTCTGCGTGGACCAGCTGTAGGTGTCGGTCCTCTCTTCTTCTCTACCAAATTCCTCTTCAGGCTCCTTGGGAGCACCTTGGTTCCTGTGTATCAACCCGAGGCATCCATCCTACAGCTCTTACAGCCAGTTGTAAGTGAGGCTTACGTTGTGTACAGGCCTCTGGTGCCTGGCCTAGAACGCAAGCGAGCTCAGTTGAGGTCGTTCGTAGCCCGGTAACCAATCACACCAATCACATTCAACAACCCTGACAAGTGTTCGAGCCCCCCTTCCCATATCATACTTACTCTTCTCTGTTGCTATCGCGAGGGATTTAATCTCGATTCTGTTGTTTTCTTTTATTCGACTGGACATTCCCGTCCAGAGTAAACAGGAACAACGGTTTCCCCAGTGCCCTTCCTACGCAGTAATAGCCCTAGCCACGACGTAGAGGCCCCGTTACCGGGGATGCTTCATCTCTGGATGATATTTACATTTGTCCACAAGATGAAACCGTCTTGGGCTACAGGAAACGTTTCAGTTCAACGGAAAATGTACCGTTATGTATCGATGCATCAGGCCAAACTGTTTGGGGCTTGCAAGATCATTCCATGTAGGGTGGTAAACGCAAGATTGTTCACAGACCCTTTGGTGTTGAAGGCACCGAATACGGCAAATCTAAAAAGTTGAAGCCGGGAACAGAAGAAAGCAGATCGCCTCACCTGCCTCATGATAAATCACATCTCCCTTCGGAGATATGTCATCATGCCTTCACCTTCGTCTCCACCAGAGGCTTGGGTGTTTTGTTGCAAGTCAATAAGGTTTTCAACGAATACCTCGATCCCCGATCTCTTGTCAAAAGTTCCGCCTCTCCCTCGAAATACTCAAATTACGTCAAACCACTCGAGCCCGATGCAATCTGGCAGTTGTCGCGGAGGTTGGCCCAGGATGCCGTTGAGTGGCGGGGTTACAAAAACCAGTCAGCAACGTTATGGATACCTGGATTCCTGCCGCTTAGGACCCGGCTTTGATGGCCTGGCCACCATGTTCATCTTCGGCGTCACCTGCTGGGGCATCTGTTTGTTGAAAGACACCTTGAAGGTTCGTTCAGCTCAGACATGTTGTCGACGATGTTCTTCCGCTAACCACATCTACAGAAAATTGACTTACTGCTTGCATCTACGATACCTTCGCTCATACCTGCACTAGCACACGTTTATGCTACGATTGAACTACAAGTCTTGCCGTTTAGCGCTCTAGAAAACGTTGCAGTTCACGATAGACCGGAAACCACCAAATTATACTCAATTTTGAGCATTGAGTCTGCAAACAAGAAACTAAGTGCAGCTCAGGATATCGGAGCAGCGGCAGTTGAGGAATGGTTGAAAGTTCTCGATACACGAGGCAAGGAGCTTAGGAGCGATGCCTCTCGATGGGAGAGGTGGACTATTGCTGATGGGCTGGCCCCCATAAACCAGCCATTACATCCCCGGTCAATATTCGAACCAAAGGACTCGGCGCAAGTAATAGACCCAAATATAGCAGCTCCAATACGAAGTTCCCTCATGCTCCCAGCTACCGTCGCCAATTAGAAGTGCCGCAAAGATCAGTCACAATCAATACTATGCTTTCCCCGGTACACCAGTTGGACTCGCCAGTAAGTGTGGGCTGGCGCTACGAGCATCAAGGTCACCCAGAGAGAGATGCACGGAGACTGACATTAAAGGCATTGCGGCGTTTTAAAAATCGAGCGGCGAGCCATGCAGATCGAACCCCCCTTACCACCTAACCGTCTTGTTTACATGTCTTCCTTCCAAATCGCTATTCAGGTCATCGCGGCTTTGGATGGCAATGCGTGGAGCATACTGCTGCCGAAACTGCTCGCAGAGCGGACAGATGCCGAGAGAACAGAAAACGTGACTCTATCGAAATTATCGAATCATGCAGACGAGTTCATTCGCAACAGCTGGGGAAAGGGTCGCAAGGTCAACAAGAGAAACAGCACTCAACTCGCGGCAAATGTTCTTCTCTCAGTACCGTCGCGGTTTCACGCCGACGTGGCGCAAGACGACGAAGCTATAATCACAGCTGGTCAGCCGCCAGTCATTGATCCGCCAGAGGGATCTTTGACTCAGAAACTCACATCTGAAAACATCAAATGAGTTTCTTGACATGAATATTAAATACTACACTGAGTCGTATCGCAAAGAATTGTTTCTATGCAATGGGTGTGACAGTAGTAGGTTTTACGGTTTCCAAGGGGGGTGATCCAGCACTATGCTCCGAAACACAAAAGCACTGAGCAATCACCATTCAAGTTCCAAGCTCGACCAACAAAACACCCTCAGCCTGCTGACCCGTATCTCTTGCCGCCACCTTACCATATGAACAGTGTTTTATCTCCTGCTCCTTATTCAGTGTCAAGCTACAGGACCAACGATATCTCCCAGGCGTACGTAATGGCGCCTACAGGCTCCGGACCATATCATGTCGCCCCCGGACCTCCAGTTTCCTCTTCCATTAATACTGGACCACCTTATCCTGACCACTCGCACCGCGCTGCTTCGATGCAAGGCGATCATCAGCCGCCGTGTGTTGCGGCCGAGGGCATACCGTTGCCGACTTCCTATCACTTGCAGATGGAAGATCTTGCCCGAAGCACGCGAGATTTTTGTAATACACTTTCTTGCATCAGGAATTTGCCAGGACCCCTGAGAGTTTATGTCACCATTCATTACATAGTAAGACGTTTTCGCTCAAAGTTCCCCCTGATTCCGTCTTTACGGGTGTTCAACGACGGACTGTCTAACAACAAAGAGATGCGTTCTGTGTGCTTTATCACTGGATTGCTGTGTAAGTCCTGTACGTTGGGTCTGGGCCTACCCGTGAATATAGATCGCAAGACCTTTTCACTACCGCAGCTTGCTCATCACTTCGACCACCGCCACATTGGAATCTCCGAAGTGAATTGTAGGAATCAACTAGGTGCGGACTGGACACAGGACACAGTTTTACTCCCAGAGGTATCCGAGATACCAGAGTCGAAGGCGATTCTTGTCATCAAGAGGCAAAATTCGGTCTCATAAACGAAGCAGTGCCCTAGGCTTTCAACACTAGTATACCTTATTCTCGGCCGCCCGGGATATGGCCTCCGAGTTGTGGTCAAAAGCAGGGTCCTGCAAAGCAATATGCCGAGAATGATGGGTACTCTCAAACTCTTGAGTCTACCAGTCATGACAATGAACTCTCACGTTGGATAGGCCTTGCGCCTACTCAAAACTCATCCAATGTAACTAGAGGACGGTATATTCAGAGACAACCACCGCATGTTGGGTGTGAGGACCGGGCAGCAATAGCTCCTGATGAGCCATTCATCAAGTCCCGTCAAGCACACGATACGGGGTTAAATCGCGACCTGCTATCCACTGGGTTGTATCACTCTGGTGCCTCGAACGGACACCCGCCAACTTACGACCAACCGTATGATGTCTACTATGATAAGAGTTATCACAAGGCTATTGCTAGTCAGCGCACAACGCTCCATGGCTTAGATCCACCGCATCTCGCCAAAGAGGGTCCTCGTCCTACGCACCAACAATCTCGACCTCTTGTTCCTCCTTTAGTCGAATCGATGTCTGAACATAACATTAGACCGTACAGGGGATGAGCAAGTGTCCTACGCACCTAGAAGGACAGAATCAACGAGACTACGCCCGGAACTCTGAAATACCCGACTGATGCAACAAGACACATGGCCTAGTAGAAAGGAAAGCGAGTTCCTCGTTCTGCAAGTATTTTGGAGCCAACTTTTACAGGGAGACTATATGGGGAGGCCGACAGCTTCAATCTGACTGCTGCGCTAGTCACATTTGCCGGACCATGACATCCATACACAAAGACATGCAGGTCTGGTTTTTGATTCTAGCGTTGTAATACGAACAAACATTGCGCACAAGTTTCACCAGCCTGCCTGTCACACTTCTCAGCGAGGGCATATGGAATTTATGAAAGGTTTTTTAGCAAGAGCGACCTCGTCAACAACCTTGAGACCCTCCTCCAGAACCCACCGCCCTAGAAGCGACTCTCACGAAGTGGCATATGTACAAAGACCCGCAGGATGTCGATTTCCAGGAGACTGACGAGGAGTAGCACATCATACGCCGACGATATGCGTACCTCACCAGTACAGTATGGAGAGACATACGAGATCTTGATTGAGGGATGCTGAGGGTTAGAATGTCATCCGGAACCTAATATTGCGTGAACATGAGCCACTGCGCACACGGTATGAAGACGGTCATCGCAGATATCTAGGCCAGGGGACACACTCGCCCGTTTACGGTGCTATATATGCATCAGAAGCAGCGCGACAGGGTCGCCCGGGTCCACAAACGGCTTCCTTGCGGATGCGCGAGGCCTCAACCACGCCGCCCCGAATCATGAACGACTCGTCTTGCTACGAAGAGTACGACCTAAGAAACCTAGCTCCCGTGCCGACCCCTAGTACTGCAAGGGACTCCTGTTACGGATGTAGTGCTTGAAAGTAGGAAAAAAAAAAGCATGATTGCCAAGGAGTTATCAAACCTTCAATGGGATGGCTTTGGTGAGAGGTGCAGGCCTTATTGCTACGCAAACAATGTAGCCATAACATGCATACTAGTTTATGTTCGAGTGACGGGTAGTACAATTTCTTTCATCAAGTACAGTGCTGTACAGGCGATGCAATATAAAAGAGACAATGACACGCGTAAGCTGAAAGACAAATTCGTAAATGAAAAGTTTCGATGTTGAGGTTCTTGTATTACACATATTCGACTATGACATACAGCAGGGAAGCCATTCAACAACATCCCTGGATAGAGAACGAAACACTGGCCCTGATGCCCTCGATCCTCGAGACATTTCTGAGCCTTGTTGTTGCGATGCCTACCCAATCTAGACATCGTCTCGACCGCCTAGCGAGTACTTGAAACTAACAAGAGTGTATTGTATGTGCGTGACAGGATGATAGAGAGGGCCATTGCAATCAAGACGTGCTGGTTCCGCCAGAGTCTGTCTCTTTTCCAAAACATATCTATAACACTTCACCAATGATCTTAGCCGCCTCCCTGTATGTTTGAAGCAGCTTTTCGCACTTCTCACGCTCCTTTTTGACGCCGTCATCTTCGTACAACAGCTCTTCAAAGAGTGCCTCCTTGTATAGCTCACTGACAAGTCGGTTCTGGACAACGTCCTTGCAGTGGTTCACAAGTAGATGCATGACGGCCTTTGGGACTTGGTCCGCAATAGACTCACGCACAATATTGAAGTAGGAAGAGATGAGTGCCCGGATGAGCTCCGTTTCCATGGCTTCCCGCTCTGTCATGGCTGGCTCCCCGCTGGCTGTACCCTGCTAACGAAATCAGCTTTCAGTTATCAACTTACCAGCTAAGGAAAGGAACTTACGAATAGAGACCCGTAATCGACGGATTGCGAGGCCTTGCCAAACTCTGGCTCTTCACGGGCCGAGGAATGTGCTGGTGCGCGCAACGCCACCTTGTCTTCAGTCCGGCGAATGCTCTGTGAAAACGTTGGCTCAGAGCTTTGGCTCACGTGTCGAGCAATGGACGAGTTTGGTGAAGGAGAAGTACCGATAGGAGGTGCACCGTCTTTACCAAAGAAGTAAGTCAGGAAGGAGTCGCGCGCACCGCCCAAGCCCTTGTCGTTGAATCTTGACGGAGAAGCTGATCGTGCGCCGTTGAGCGCCGCGTTTAGGCCGGTGGTCCCGTTTTCACGCACACCAGGCGATAGACTACGCGCTCCCTTACTTGCCTGCTTTCTTAAAGCATTAGAGTCGGCCTTTTCGGTGACTGTCGATTCCGTTTCATCATCCTCAGGTCCCTCAGTACCATTGGTACCAAGCTCTTTGAGGCGTCTTCTCTCCCGCTTTTCTCGCTCTTCTTGGATAAGGCGCTTTCGCTCTCTCTCTTGCTTGTTGCTGACAACATGGCTCATGGCAGCTGCGGCCCCCAAAAAGTTGGGATGATTGGTGTTGATGTACGCTCGTTGGATCGAAATCAAGGATTCGACGTAACCAGACGTCGGTCCCAGCCGCTCACGCAGTAGATCAGAAACAACCTCGATCAGCTTGGCTTGCAACCTTGGGAAGCGAGAGAGCTCAGTCGAGCCGCAAGTGTGGCATATCTTGATGAGTTCTTCGTAAACAAGCTCGACACACCGCTGACTAGGAACTTCGAGGAGTTTGATTTGTGGCTTGACGAGAAGGTCAAATGCCATTTCTGGCACAAACAAACTGGGGCGGGGACCGGTTGAGTTACGGATAGCAGTCCGAATATCAAGCGCTGAAAGGTTGGAAGTTGGGTCAATGGACTCAAGAGAACTGCCAAAGACCGAGTTGAATATATAGTAGATGCGGGCGCCGCCGCACAGTTCTTTGGTGGAGATATCGGTCGAGGTACCATCAATCGAAGAGATAAAGGAGGTGGCAAAGCGTGTCATCTGTTGCAGAATGAGGGATCCACGGTGCTCTTTTCCGCTGAAATGCATATCACCATAGCTTGCCAGCTCTTGTTGAGTCTGTCCCATGAGAGTGTTGAGGCGCGCCTTGATATCGGGCATGCGCTCACGGATGTGAGCCATGAGGGTCGTGTTCAGAGTCTTGGCCAAGAAGCGGGTGCCGCATCTGCTAGAGATATTGCGATATGCCGGGTGGTGCTTGAAGAACTCCGCTTCGGCCTTGAGGGCTTCCTCCATGGGCTTGCTACCCTGTATGTCTTGCTGGGAGCGATTGACAACGCCAATGAAGCCCAGCTTTAACGGGTAGACACGGCCAGACAAGATATCCAGTGCGTTTGTACCGTGATCCATAAGGTCCACCTTGGTGAGCACACCAATCGTCCTCCTTCCCAACGGATCAACATGCCGGGCAAGCTTCAGAGCCTCCGAGTTCACGATATCGACGTTGGCAGGTGAGACAGCAAGAACAATGCTGTTAGGCTTGGCAATATACTCTGAGATAAGGTTACGGGTTTGCTTCTCGATATCGGTTGGCTGATCGCCAATGGGAACCTTTGAGCAAGTGTCAGAGTCGAGATACGGTTTGCGCATTTGGACTGAATGCCAGAAAATTTGTAACGTACCTTTGTGAGTCCAGGAAGATCGACGAGAGTTAAGTTGAGCACATGCGGCGAGTAGATCTTAAGGTTGATAGGTTGTCTGTTGATACCCTTATTATTGCCCGCCACGCGCGAGGTCTCGTTCTCGATCTCGCGCTTCACGTCGGAGAAGTCATTGAAGCGACGGTTCGGAATGTGGTGGAACTCGGCCCATTCGGAACGTCTGGCAATGTCGGGAGACCGGTAAGGGTCCGACAAAGGGTCGGCGGCATCCTCATCTTCGGGTACGTTGATCAGTTGCAGGATCAGGGGCCGTCTGGTCACGATACCACTTCCGCGGGGTAAAAAATCACGGCCGACAATGTTTTCGAGAACGGAGGATTTTCCGGCCGACTGCGAACCGACAACAACCTGTCAAAATGTCAGTGGATAGGCTTTTTTAGACAGCCCGTGCTTCCATGATGAGACGACATACAATCTGAGGAAGATCAAGAGAGTCACTGCCGATGGTGTTGAAGACCAAGTCTTGCAGCTTGTTGACAGTGCCGAGAAGATCGTCTCCCAGGGACGCCATGGTGATGGGTCAAACTCAACAAAGTATACGCCAGATGGTCAAGACGTGATCGGGTTTGTTCGTGGAAGCTGAGACAGCACACCCGTAGGCCTATTTTCTGGCGAGTACTTGCCGAGGCTTTTGAGAGGCGAGCAGTAGAAGCTCTCGAGTGGAAGGGTAAAGTCGAACAGCCAGTCTGCAGCGCAAGGCAACGCAACCCAAGGCAGAGCACACAAAGGGAGCCGGCGCTGGCTTGTGGTCCAGTGGGTGTGGCTCGGATGCCTTCGAGGTCAAGAAGTGCAATCGATGAAGGAAGCACGAAGCACGAAGATGTGGTGAAGGCCCTTGGACGGGATGGATTGAGAGTGGATGCTCGAATCGATATGTTAAAGTCGATGCTATCGCGCGTGCCGTCCAATTTCAAGAATTCATGCGCGATCCACCAAGCCGAGAAAGTTCGGGTAAGGGACGTAATGCTCGTTGGATGCTTGGTGGCGCCGACCAATGTGGGTTGGATACCTCAGGGGAAACAAAGGCTAATAGGTACGTACCTTGCACAAAATTGTAGTGCTTCAGTGCATACATTTGCTCCGGTGTCATGTATGCCGGAAATAGCCGTCCCTCGCGTTTGGCTTCTGGATACCAACTTCACTCAGATCAATCAATTAACTCCATCCAACCGGAGCACGAACATGGGGGTAACTTGGGCCACATCAACCACCTCACTTAATGTAAACCACCTTGATGAGGCAGAAGGAAAGAGTCTGCCATTTTAGTTTGTTTGAATCCCTAGGTAGAGAGTATAATGCCTTTTTTTTTTTTAATTTTATTTTTATTTTTTTTATTACGAAATTTGAAAGATTACCCGGCTGTCGTCCTGTTCCACTCCTTGCCACCGCCGCCCGCGTTCAGGCATCCATCGTCTGTGCCACCAATTTTGGCCATGCAATCCGACTCCTCGCCAACCTGTGTTTTTCCACCGTATCAACAGCTTAATCACAAAACCACCAGCTCTCCCATACGAATGCACCAAGACCGCCGAGTGCAAACTGACCAAGTGTGGGCTTTACAAAAAGACTAGCTTTTCGTCGGGGCTCCATCGAAACTTGAATTGTCGGCTCATTCACATATAGGGTGCGTTTTAATCAGGCGAGCTCCAGCTTTGCCCATCAATTCGGTACAGCACCACCATCCTAGCCGTGTTTTCTGGGCAGTCACCCTTAAGAGATCTGCTAGCATCTCATCAACAGACAGACATCATGAGTCAACTGGGCGGACCTGGTGCTCGACAGGCCAACGCCAAGCCGATTCCGTACGCAGTGAGCCCCATCCTTACTGGCCATACCTTTGCCAACTGACGCCCCAAGCTAACTGATGCCTCTTATCCAGCCCTCAACGTGGCAGCTTCCCACTTGATCATGACGGTCTGTTGGATACATTGCTGTTACCAAGTCGGCTTTTCGCCTGCTAACTTTGTGGATCAGGCGAGTGCAAACATGTCATAGTGACCTACCTTGAGTGCATCAAGAAAGTAAGGGGTGTGAACGATGCAGAATGTCGCGACTTGGCTAAGTCGTACTTGGCATGCCGCATGGATCGGTAAGCTACATCACCTATAAAGAAACAGCCGTCTTGAAGAACCCTGGACGGAATTCCCATTGATGATGCGTCAAATCGCAGGAACCTCATGGCCAAGGATGAGTTCAAAAACTTGGGCTTTGATAATGGGCCGGCAGCGGAGACAAGTACCAACACTACCAAACAGGGCCAAGGAGCTTCAAGCAAGGAACAGGATGCACGACCCGGCGAGCTAAGATGGTAGTCTGCTAAGCCCTATAGTGGTGTTGTCTCGTCAGCATCGCAAGGGGTATCAGAGGGCCGAGGAAACGGGTATGCTAGTACATCACAAACGGGCGTACAGCAGTCACATCCCGAATTGAACAAGGTAAGAGTAGGGTTGGAAAAGATAAATATGCCTGGAGGCATTGGCACAGGACTCTTCGCGCGCCTGTCGACAGTGGACTTGCTTAGGGTGTATGGAGATTGTCAATAAACAGGATATCATGCGCGGGCATGGAGCTTCATGCACCCAAACAACGGACCCCAAGGCATCACGACTTCAATACAGCCACGGATCAGCACAGCGCCGCCCCGTCCGGGATTTGCAGGCACGTAGATGTCGTGGCAGGAAGCATACTTAGTTGATTTTCCAATAGGTGACTCACTTGGATCCCGTGCCCCTGTTGCCAGGTGTTACGTTTTTTCGTCAGGGATGGGGTAAAGTTGCCGGCCTGTTATAGTGCTCACACACAAGAAACACGCGGTTATGTGACAGCGTTTGCTAGCCCAGTCAACGGCAAGCAAACCAGTCTGTGGCTTGCTCGTACTTACCTGGCCTCAAACATCGGCTCAGCAGGAGCTTAGAGGACAATCAATAGCTAAGAAAATAATCGAACAATTGATTGGACAAGCGCATCGTAGGAACCAGCCCTTCGACGGCAGTATTCTATCGTTATTCTAGCCTCTGGGAAAATTCGGTGACTCACCTAGACGAGGCCAACCTCACCCAGCGGCATGAATGAGGAGCTTTGACATCCTGGCGGGAGGAGCTGGACAAAAATGCAGTTTCCAAAGTGAGAGACGCGATGCTGACTGCTGGAGGTGCTGGCCATTGTGGAGTTGCCAGGGGGGGGCTTGTCTCTCTTTCTAAGGGCGGCAGCTAGCTACAGAACTTCCGGGGCGTCGAGACCCAATGGCTGTGAGCCTCCGAGGGGCCGTGGTACTAATAAGTACCGGATGTGTCCCCGGACGATAGGTAGCTAGGTAGAGTAGGAAGTCGCCTAGAGTTGCAACCTAACGACCTAATCGTACAACGCTGAGGCTTTGGGATGTTTCGTGACATCCACAAGGATCGGAACGTCGGACAGTCATCGTTGCCCCGACAACCAACTACCGCCGAACACATCGCCCAGGTATAATAACTTCAACGACATCAATCGCCTCCCCTCGTCCGCTAGCAAGTCCAAGCATTTCCCTTTGAAGACAATAGTCATAGCCCTGCATTCATACTCTTGATAGTAAAAACATATCTGAACACTTACTTCACCGCATGCTTTTTCTTCGCCTCTCCATCGCCCTGTTTCCATCGCCCACCGCCACTATTCACCGCATTCGCAATACCCACTGCTCGGCACCCCTTGTGCTCGCCGCACACCGCCCCCATCATGCATCGCAGGAAGAGCACCGAGAAGACAAGAAAAGTCACTCCACCGTCGCCGTGCTATATGAATAACGAGCAGTTCGGTGAGCTACGGTTTTGCGACGCGTCCTAACTCTCTCCATACCTCCTAACACACTGCTTTTCTAGCTGCCTACCTTGCCAATCTCAGAACAAATCGAGTTACTCGTCCAGGCGGAGCCAGACCCCTGCCCCCTTCGTCCTCGAGTACAAGATCTAAACGCACCTCTTACGAGCACAGCGTTCCTGAACCTCTTTCTCAACCCGAAAGCCCTGCCCTGTCCAGCCCAAGCACTATCGATGCGCCATCACGACCTACACTTTTTTCTGCAAATACCAGCTTCTCCTCCCGTCACTCCATGTCTAGTACTCAGGGTCGTGATTACTACCCTTATCGCCCAACGTCACCTTTGAAGCCCTCCGAGGTTGTGCCCACGACAACGTACATGGAGAGAGGTCAACGATGGATGGAAAAAGAAGAGGCTGTATCGCTCCGACAAGCCATGGACGATATGCAGATCAAGACGGATGAGCCCGGCTCCCAAAAAGATGCCGCTTGTACTAAGAACAGCACTGGCGGCACGCCAGACGACGACGAGAGTCGCATCTATAATGCCGCACTCGATGAAGCCTCGGAGCTTGTTTGGCAACATCAAAATGGAGTCCGGCCTCCAGACCCTCACGCCCCTTATCGGTACAGGCCTCATCTCAGGAAGAATAGCTACGCCCACGCTCGTACGGCCAGCGTGGGAAAATATGGCGACAGAGTAACTCCATCCGGTCTAGCAAGAGATGCCTCAAGGTCCGCTTCTGGCAGCTCAACTGATAGTGATGGGCACTCTCGACGAAGCCGGCCCTCCCTCGCTTTATCGCGTGACAGCTTCAGAGGAGACAACTGCAGCCCCGAGGAACCGTCGGAACCCTCTGACGCTAGCCGACCTCTCCCTAAACCTATGTCCTCTGGCCGTCGCCGTAGTAGCATGAAGCGTAACATTAGTGGCGAAGTCGAGAAACCATTTTCAGGCGATCAAATTTGGGAAGAACCGGAAGGCACCTTTCGCGAAGATAAGTTCAAAACGCAATCGGAATCGGCATGGAACTCGCCCCTTGTGGACAAGCCAAAGAATCCTCAAGGCCAGGTCCGCTTTGCTGCCGCTCTCCCGACAGATCGTGTGGCCCCTTGGAAACCGAGATGCAATGTTGAAATCCATCGAAACCCGCCGTCACAATCGCGAAACCCCCTGTACACGACCAACAGCCCTGCCCCTAAGCCCGCAGTGGATGATGTGGTGCCTAAGAAGAATGGGATGGAAATCCGCAGTGACGATATTCGGGGGGCCACGAGCATGAAGCTCAAGGACCGCAGTGCAAAGCTGCCTACACCCACGGCAGTTAGCGATCGCCCTGGACGGCCGATTGTAAGCTTCGATTCGAAGTGGAAGGCTCCTGACGAGAGAACTGATGTTAGGCCAGGGTCAGGTTCCGGCAACAACACATCGGGAGCCTCGAGCCAAAAGAGCCAGCCGATGGAGATTCCTTCTATCGTGGTGGCGCCGGAGGAGCCTCCTTCGGATAGACCACACGGGGTCCCAGCCGTACCGTCCATAAGTATCGGCGGGGTAGACGAGGGAATAGGATCTAGCCCGGGCATACCTGTTGTTGTCACTCCTGACGACAACTCTTCAGCCTCTACACCACGGCCGCTGCCCGACCCCAAGACGGCGTCCAGAGCACGACCCTTCCAGCGTCCTCAGCGGCACTGGTCGCCTGCTGCTGGGTCGGGCAATCGTTCGACAACCCTGTGTCATGAGTGCAGTTTTCCCATTGAGGGCAGATTTGTCTCTCTGGCTGGGTTGTCTGAGCGCTTCCATCCTCAGTGCTTCAGCTGCTATGCTTGTGGCACAGGGCTTGAGGCTTTAGAGATCAGCCCGGAGCCTGATGCCCATCGCAAAGAGCGTCTGGAGAGAATCAGACGCAGAGCCAATGGCGAGGTGCTGGAAGAGAAACCGGGAAAGACGATGGCCGAAGATGGTGATGAGCGACTGCGTTTCTTCTGTCATCTCGACTGGCACGAGCTCTACGCTCCTAGATGCAAGCATTGCAAGACACCCATCCTCGGTGAGCATGTTGTCGCACTAGGTGAACACTGGCACTACGGACATTTCTTCTGCGCCGAATGCGGCGACCCGTTCGAGAAGGGCATGACACATATTGAAAAGGACGGATACGCGTGGTGCATCAATTGTCAAACAAAGCGGACGGAAAGAAGGGCACCTAAATGCAAAAAATGCAAGACGGCTGTCATTGGTCAGTACATTAGAGCACTGGGAGGCGAGTGGCATGATGAGTGCTTTCGCTGCGCTTCCTGTCAGGGTGGCTTCGATGACGGTCAGGTCTTTCCTAGGGAGGTTGGAGATAAGACGATGGTGCTGTGCACAGGATGCCGCATGATGGAACTCAAGGCATAACGAGAAACGAAAAGATTGGCAAACTGTACATTTTGAACAGCAGGAGTTAAGGATCAATGGGTATGAGAAGCGTCTGCCCGTTTGCCATTGGTTTGCTTGTATCTTAGCCTTGTAAGAGGGTATGGCGTCTCTGTAGGCGCGATATCCTGGCCAGCCAAGGGGGCGAGGAAATGAAAGTATGTGGTGAACGTCATAATCATCATTGGTTGTCTACGCATGACCTTTCTGTGTAAAGCCATCCATCCCTGTACGCCATTGGCGATGGCCAAAGCCTTCTCAAGAAAAGAAGAATTCCATCGCCCAAGTTCTCTCGCCGTGCAATATGTTTCCTCTCACCATCCGTCAACTAGAAAGAACCGCCGACCTGTTCCTGGTGCACCTCCAGAGTATCTCCATCCGCCATCTCGAGCTGGGAGGGCAACCACATTAGCATCTTGCGCCAATATACCAGCAGGGGCGGCTCCACTGCTTACCGTGTCTGGGGTATCTGTGGGCTGCACACGTTGGCCCTCGAACAGGAATCGTACGGAATTCATAGCCTTTCCTTGTCTCTCGCAAAAAGCTGTCATGAGTTTATCAAGCTTGGTAGAGCGCTTGATCTTGAAGAAGACTTCGTTGTTGTTGTCGGTGACCTTGATGTTCAAGTGTTCGACTGCAGGCGCAGCGTCTTGGCCACCAGCAGAAGGGCTGCCGTTCTCGTGTTCGCCAGACATTGTGCAACTATCACTGCGCAAAGTGGACAAGTTAGCCAAGGCCGGTCACGCGGCTTTTTGGAGGTACGGGAGAAGGCTGAGAGACGGAGCTGGAGGGAGACAAGACGGCGCGTGGTGTATGACATACATTACGCGGTAGACGCTGAAGTCCGGTTGACCTGACGGCTTATTTGGATTTGGCTGTAAAGGCGCAGGAGCTTGAGTTTGGTGCAGAGAGAAACACAAGCGGGATCGCAAGAAAGGAATTGTTAATTTGACGGAGCGGCTGGGCAGTTGGCAAGAGACGGGCTGGAGAAAGGCGGGAGAAAGATTGTGTGGGGAGCCTGGAAAGAGCAACTGGGTTCAGAGACTGGTGCACAAAAGGCCATCGGTGGTGGGACGAAAGGGATCTAATTGGATGTGATGCTGTAGTGAGACAAGGTTTGCCTCCTGGTAAGCTTAGGTAAGACAAGGCAACTGTAACTTTGGGTGCCTGCCTAGGTAGGTAACTATAGGTAGGTACGCGCTGCTACAGAACAGCTTCCCAAGTAGCCATTGACTGTCATGAGAGGCAAAGAGCTACATCAGTGGCGGCAGACAATACCGTAACTTTCATCTTGATTAGCACCTTGCCTCCTACGTCGTTAAGGCCAGATCAAGACGAACCTTCTCGACCAGTGCCATCCGACCGAGTTTAGCCTAATCGGACCGCCTACCTGCCTAGCAGTTTCCTCCACTGCCCACCGAAGATCCTGTCTCTTATCCACCTATCCATTTTACTTTCCCGGTTCAGAGGTACGGTCGTCGAATACAGCAACGATTTAGAGTGTAGCGTTCAGCCCGGGCCGCTGGAACGTACTGCTACCATCATCGTAGACTTTCTGTCACACGCATCTTCGAAGCCTAACGCGAGGCAAAACTAGATATACAATGGTTTGCAAGCCCTTTCAGGAAGCGGACGACGACGTCGCAGACCATGAACGTTTAATTTGCTAACGTAGACTTGCAGGGGTTAAATGAGGACTTGAAGGCCAACCCTCCATGCCATCCTCTCGCCGTAAGTATTTTTGCATCTCTGTGATGTGTTTATTGCATCAACTAACGAATGCCTCCGCTTAGTGCGCCATCCAAGGTCAGTCAGCATCGGTTTAGGCCTCATCGCAGTCGCTCCACGGGAAGCTAATCCGCAACAGATTGTTTCACCAGAAATGGCTACAGAGAGGAGAGGTGTCAGTCTGTAGTTATTGCCTTGTACGAGTGCTGTGAGGCTTTCTACCGGTCTAAGGGCGACAACGCGACGACGGTCAGCTGTCCCAAGCCTGACCTGCTACGGTTGAAGCTCAGAAGGCTCCGCGAGGGTTCGCAACAATAGTGAAGGAAAAATCATCGAATGCGGGCAAACATGTACCACTCTTCCATATAAATACGTCAACCCGAGTAGAGAAGAAATCTGGCAACATTCTAGAAAGAGGGCAAGTTATTCTAGGCATTCGTTGAGCGCGCTAAGAGATCCCGTAGAATCTGAACAACCATTGAGTGGCCTGTTCCGAGACTCTAATACAAAAGCCTTGACATTGAAGAGAGAAGAAGAAGAAAGAGCAAAGAAAATTTCCACCGATGCAGCTTGATAAAGGAAGCCATGAGCGGGGCTATACTGTGCGCAAACAAGTTTGAGACAGTGTTGAAAACGTGCAGCACAGATAGACAGTGCAGTTAGGTAGGCTTATTAAATCTACTACATAACAAGGTCGCTTTACAGAAAACGCGCTCGATTGCCACGCACAGACCGGCTTGGGATCCATCCGCTTCACTTTCGCGCCTGTCCCTATTTGTCGCCTTGGAGCCTCATCGAGCACTGGATGTTGTTTTTCTGGGGGGCAACCAGAGGCCATCCAATCTCTAGAATAACTAGAGCATCTTCCGCCGGATCGCGCAAACCGTATCGCTTCCGACTGTTTCCACGTCTGGAAGTACTGAAACGGGGGAGGTGTCTTGTCAACGAGGATCGAGAAACATCCAGTGCTTCTTTGTAGAGCTTACTTAGCAGCTTTGCTAATCTTGCGGTGCCGCGTCGGATTTTAAGAATTTCATACAGGCCGTAGACTCCATGGCCTGATCCATCCTCGACTTACCATTCCGCCTTGCAACCAAATCGCACGAGGTCCGTTCTCTTTTATCACTAAATCTTCGGTTGAAGTATAAGGTACGGTTTTGGCTTACCATCATCTTTCCAGTCCTGTATTGAGATCATCTAATACCTACGCAGGTCTTGAACGCACCTTCACTGACGAACGTCGAGCGGCCACATCGAATTCATCCTCACGAATCTACTGACGGTCTCCCTCGTCTCATTGCACACGAAACAGTACCAGTTTTCACGCCCTTTGCGCGTCTATCGATAGTAACCTGGACGAAGATGTACGGACCGCTTGGGCCCGAAACCGAGGTGTTCGCCAATGCCCTCGATGATTGTCTCGCACCTCAGGGCACAGTTGAAGAGAAGCATGCAAGAATTCTGGATCTGGTGGATGCGTACTATGAATATGCGGACCATACCCTAACAGACTTGCGCAGACAAGTTCGGCAGGGCTCGGCTGGCGACACCGAGATGGACTTGGACGACGACGAAGATGCCGATTCTGCCGCAAGCATAGAAGAAATCCGCGGATGGGAACAAGAGAGACAGACATGGGATCTCATCCGTCGCCTTATCCCGTTGAGATATCCTGCACCAAAGGCGATTGGTAAACAGGCTTCGAGCGTTACAAAGGACGGAGAGGGCGATGACATCTGGCGCGCGTTTCTTGCAGACGATCAGCTGGCTGTAGAGAGAAAGGCCATTCTCGAATGGCTGCAACAGAACGCAAGAACTGGGCCCGATCTTGACGACTTAGTCCGAGAACTACAGCAGAACGCTGACAGAGGAGACATTATTGCGCATGGCTGGATACACACAAGGTCTGCTATCAAGCTACAGAAGAGTGTTATCGGGTCCATACGCCCGCTTGACGTTCAATTTCCCGAAGTGTCTCGTTCCCTCGTCAATTCGGACAAGGCGCCACTTGTTGCCGAATTAGACCCAGACTCTGTGACCAGGCAGAGCCGGAAGCTGGAGCCACAGGACGAATACTTCGAGCGGGCAATTTGGGTTGGTTGCTTCCAACTTCTTCGGAGAGGTAGCAGCTTGGAGGATATAAGAGAATGGTGCCTCGAAAGGACAGAAGTTTGGAGGGCCGTTTCCATGTCCGCATTACCCCTCGCTACAAAGCATGGCGAGGAAAATTTCGTGGAAGATCCATCAGCACTTGCGCTCTGGAGACGCGTCTGCTTTGCAGCGGCACGCCATGGCGGCACAGACGACATCGAGAGGGCTGTCTACGGTGTGTTGTCAGGGGACATTCCTAGTGTGCAAAAAGTGTGCAAGACTTGGGACGATTTCATGTTCATGCACTACAACGCTCTCCTTCGTACGCAATTCGACACGTTTGTTCTCGGCCAATGCCCCCCCGAGGTATCGACATCTCTTCGTTCATCATTCGCCGCTTTCGACGCTGTACAATTTCATGGCGATCCTAGCACGCTGGAACAACGCCTAGTCCATAGCCTCGAAACAAACCCTCAAACCAGCCAGGAAGCCCTGGAACCCGTCAAGACACTTCAAGCCGCCATAATTACGAAAGAGCTGGAAAAACACTTCTACCAGCAGGGTGTAGCCATCACACTCGAGGCCAATTCGAAGGAATCTTCCGCACTGATGCCCGATGATTCTTGTCACGATGTCAGCGTGGTCCCGGAGAAGTTTGCTGATTTTGAGAACCCCGGCCGTCTACGACTTGCTGTTCATGCCCTCATCATCTTTGGCACACTCGATAAGCTCGTCGACTCACCGCCAAACTTGGCAACGATGAGCTGGAGGCCCGACCGCCGCGAAATACAAGAGAACACGATCACGCTTTACATTAGCTTGTTACGTCTTTCCGGCCTGGAAGAGTTGATACCCCTTTACTGCTCTAGGATTCGCGATCAGAGAGCCCTCCAGGTGCTTAGTACCAACCTACTACCCATCACTGACAATGAGGCCCGCCTAGTCCAGCTCAGTCTCATCCGCAAGGCAGGACTGGATGTGCTGGAGTTTGTGAAGTACCAACCAGCATCCCTGTTTCGATGCATAGAAGTCGATACCGCAAAGATACAGACTTTCCAGATCTTGGACAACGGGCCATCATCTCTCAACTACGGTCGTTCGATTAGGACGGACTTTTTCGGAGAAGATCCAGATACTATCGATTCTATCGATGAGCGTTTGATTCGCTCGGTGGAATGGCTCTTGCTTGTTGACGAGGCCTGGCCTCATGTGTTTTGTGTTGGCGTAGATATCTACAAGTATTTTCTCAGTAAGTCGTCACATTATGTTTTTGATATTTTAAGTGCTTTTCCGCTGACTCCAGCTTGTGTGTTAACAGGGACCATGCGCTTGAACGCTGCCAGAAATTTTGCCAACCGGGTATCTTTCAGCACTATTATGCGGCAAAGGGTGGAACTCCCCGAGCAGGACGACAACGATCCTTGGTGGCCCGATGATGCAGAATTCTGGGCTGGCCAGATCGAAGCCGTGGGTGCGAAGAGCCTTTCGCCAAGTCAAATTGCTTCGGCGGCACGAGCCTTCCGTGAGCTTGAGTGTCTAGTCAAGGCCTTGGATACGATGGAGACGATTGCTTCACTGGCAGAACTTTCAAAGGAGTGGGTTGAAACAATTTCCTCGGCCGTGGCCCCTCACTGACCATGATTTAGGGACCCGTCCGTCAAGAGAGATTTCTGGGCCAAGGTCGGAAATGAGGTCAAGTCCGCGAAAGAGAATGTGCGGCCGCTGCTCAAAAACTGGCTGCGGAGTGAGGGTAACTTTTATCAAGGCTCCTTCTTTGGGCAAGCACTGACTCTAATTTTGATAGAAGACAAAGAACTGGAGTCGCTACGGGACATGTATCTTCCCGAGACGCTCCTTGCTTTCATTAGCACCCTTCATTTTGCTGGCACCACCCTGACAAGAGATAACTTCCTGGAATGCATGGAACTGGCAGCCACTATCGCTGAGAAGGGATCCGACGTTGCTGAGTGCTTCATGAAGGCTAACCGGATGAAAGAACTGGTGGAAAGCTTTGCTGCCTGCAGCAAGGCTTTGGCGATTGCGTCGAGCGAGAAGAAGACAGCTGGTTCGAGCAGTAAGAAGCTACGCGAAATGGGATGGACTCGGGATATCTGGTCTGTGAAGCATTAGGTTGGGGGGTTTACAGTGAGCAAGCAAAGCACAAAGGGAGGGAAAATAGGGGAAATTGCTTGAGAAGGCTGTAGACTTTGGTCAACAGTCGCGATACGTCTAGTGAACAAAGCTGGTCGCTTACGAGCGAAGGATTTGGAGGGGGGGTCTAGGACCGGCACACTCAATGTCAAATAATAAAGTGATGATACCAATATCCCAGGGATCGAATGCGACCTTCCACGACTTGTGGTTCGTCGAACGTTCACCATCAAGGTCTTTTTGTGCGGGTATTACTGTGTTGCCGTCTTATCTTATCGAGTAAATCCCCGCCACCCGACCCCACCCCCTAGCTGGGATCTATGGTACCGACTTTGCCGATCGCCTGACGTCGCTTTGTCTGGAGGGGTGGATGCGACTGGCCAGCTTCAATCTTTCCTAGCCATCGCCATCTGAGCAGGGCCTCAAAGGTTTGATTCAAAATAGGTGCGCATAAGAACCTACCCATCTCACAACTTCTCTATTCGCGCTATGGACGTAGTTCCTCCGCCCGTGCCCCCCCCGAAACCGGGCAGCCATGAGACCAGTCGTATGGGCACGCCGATTACATCCAACTCACCCCGGCCTAGCACCGGTGCCGGGGTTGGTCCCGATGCAAATAGTGCCAGTGGAGGTCGGGTTCACCCGGCCTACCAACCCACCGGTCTTGAATTTGCCCGACCAGAGCCTGTCCCCGATCCAGGGGACCAGTGGCTTCCGAGGGTGTTGCAAGACAAGTCGTAAGCATTTCATGCCCGCATCGATTCACTCTCCCTCCTCGTCGCTGACTACGGCCGTAGAAAGCAAGACCTTGCCGACATAGCGACAAGCCCAGAACTTCTCAACGCCCTCACCCACGCGCCGAGTACAATTCACCCCTCTCTCTCCTCTTCACATCAGGCCCTCCAATCGGCCTTGGCCGAGAACCTCGAGCTTGCCTCACGACTAGTCGAGCTCGAGTCTCGGTTAGCCCATCAACGGTCCACAACACAGGCGCAACTCCTCTCCACACACGCTCTCGAGCGCCAATGGCGGCAAAAGCAATCTGACATGGACCACGCACTTGCCCCTTTTTCTCCGGCATCCATGTATCAGCGCTTGGGACAAGGTGTGCACGAGCAGGCTTCTGTATGCCATGTTTTGGAGGAAAGCTTCATTGAAGGGGAAGGGGACGGTGCATATGCGTCGGAGAGAGAGACGTTGGACTGGATCAAAAGGTACAGGGATGCGAAGGTCCTGTACTACCTTAGACAAGAGCGAAAGGAACGATGGGACGAAGGTCGTGTCGGTGGCTGGAGGTAAAAGCACCCGGCCTCAGTTGGATACTAGCCGATTTCGTCAAAAGAGGAACGCGGAGAACCGGAGAGCAATATCATGGGAAAGGAAGGGGGAGCGGTTCCAGCACAATTCGCACTCAAGTTACTGCAAAATTCGTCTCATGCAAAGGGAGACACAAGCCGCCACCCTACGATACCCTGAGCAAGAGGCCATGCTGGTCAGATGTACTAAACTATTGGAAAGTTTGCATCTGTGAACGCTGACAAGGGGGTTTCTCGACTGCTGGAAAGTCGAAATTATCCATAATTGCTCAGTCTGTGACGGGAATATCTAAAACCCGCAAAATTTGGGAGGACTTGAGCTTCACAGCATGTTATAAATGGACCGAGCCGTGAACCGTTCATGGCCTTTAGATTCGTCGCCATGGCCCCGCCCGTCGTCCATATTCCAAGGGAAGGGTTCACAAAGGGGCGTAAAGCCGCATCCCGATTCTCCCACAACACCTCTCGTCGAGGCGAACACGTGCAATCCGAACCTGGCCGAGAAGGACTGACAGTTATTCAGGCAAGGCTAAAAGGGCTTCGTTTCATCTCGGGGCTCCGGGGGCTCATGGAAAGCGCAAAGAGGCCTTCCTCCTGGTCTTGGTCTTGTTGCTTCGAGGAGAAGGCACTTTTGCTCGAAACAGCGTCCAATGAGACCGAACCTTCTACAGCTGGGTTACCAGGCGTCGTCGGTCGGATAAAGCTCGAGAAGGACGAGACTGCGATATCACTGGATGTTGGAGAGAAGGATGTTGTATGCACATGCGCACTTTCGTCTGCGGACATCGGATCAGTGTCTGTACCTAAGGAGGGTCAGAGTAGCCTCCAACGAGCGCCTTACCAGCCGAGCCAGCAACCAAGTCAGCGGCGGACGTGGCTAGTTTCAACACTTTAATCTTCTCCCCGAGCCTGCCGGCAACTGGCGCTTTGGAAGAAACCGGGCTAGGCGGAGTGCGAGATGCGAACATTGTTGCGTGCTGAACAACGTCCGGCTTAAGAGCAACGCCGAAGTGACAGGTTATCCATTGTCTTTCTTGGAGCGCCATTTCCAGGCCAACACTTTCGGTGTTGGTCTTCATCTCGATTTCGACCTCTTCCTGGAGCCCGGAAAGCCTCTTTTTGGCCCAAATTGTATGGAGGATGCCTCGCATCCCGACGTCCGGGTTGCCAGCGGCCAAGCCGGGTGGGAAAATGGCAGGCAGTGGCTTCGTAGTGAGCCTGGTGCCGTCTGGGTGGGAAATTGTAACGACTGGCGGAACGGTGGCACCAGGAGGAAGCAAAAAGTACACGCGTTTATTTGTTCCAGTAACCTCGTCGCTAGCAGGGAGGTAGTTTGTCTTTCCCTCCCAGGATACTTCCCAGGCCTTGGATGTTGCCGATGGTAGGGTAAGAACGGATGGAGAGGCCGAAGGATCCCATTCAACCATGAGAATCTTAGTGCCTTCATTGCCTTTGCCTGTCTCAAACTCAAAGCGAGCGAGTGCAAAAAGGGCAGCGTTGGCGGTAGTGCCAGGTGTGGCGTCCGTGAGGCGAGCGGGGAGGTCAGGACCAGTCACCAACGAGTCGGAAGTCGAGGAGGGCCGAGGGGCATCCGGTGCCTCCATGTCTTCGTTTGCGGCCGGATAGCGTTCGGTACGGGACCTGGTGCGAAGTAGTTTGAGCGGAAGCACACGCAGTGCCCGGCCGATGGATTTGCGGCCTACCTAGGTACCGAAGCAACGGCAGAATCTAGACACTTATGTATACCTAGGGTAACGCAAGTCAACTGAGACTCATGTCAGACCCGAGGGGAGTGTGGATGATTAATCCGTCACACAGGGAAAGTACTTAGGGCCGCGCTGAGCAAGAGGGAAGGGGCAAGACTACGAGAACGGTTGCTGCAGCGAGTGGTGCAGAACAGGGAGGGTAAAATTCAAGTTGAGATATGTATGATCGCAACAGTGGTGGAAGCGGCACGGATAGATACATGGACATGGGCAGAACGAGGCCAAAGCAGGAGAAGGAGTAGGAGCTAGCAAGCCGATTTTGGCGGGGAGTGGCACGCGGAGACAGAGACGTAGATGGCAAGCCGGCCACACAGTCTGTGGCTGAGGCAGGGACAATGCGGATGTAATATTTGCCAGCATGTCTAGGATCGATGAGCGACGTAGTGGGACAATCAACACGAGTAAACCATCATTGGGCGCTGCTTGTTGTACCATAGAGCACACCCGGAGTATGTGAGGTTACGCACAGCTCAAGATGGCGGTTATAGGTTATTGCCGCGGAGAACCATTAGGTCGAATGAAGGGCTTGTCTTCGGCATCATGATACTTACTGGATGCGTGACTGGAAGATACAGAAGCATATATTGCTTGAGACGAAGTGCACATCTTAACTGCCATTTTGATAAAACTTCACACGGGCTTTCGCGACCGAGTGGATATTGGCTCATTGGGCTTCATTGAAACAACGGTAAAGGCTCTCCCGCTCCATCCCAGGCAGAAGCGGAGGAAACGCGGAGCAATATGAAGGAAAAAAGAGTCGCTACCGGAAAAGCTGGAAGCACAGTCAGGATCCCCACAAATCACCGGGGGATCTCGGTCAACCATGGCCTGGACAGGGGCGTGATGAAGGCGCGAGAGAAACCGCTAAGTGGTGCAGTGTGCGGCGGGAAGAGGGCCGGCATTAGGAAGAAAACTAGGCAACCTATACCTCCTCCTTCCTGGTGTCCCGCACGGTGAAGTAAACTGTTGTAGGACCTGTCATCGCATGTAGTGCTGGAGAGCAGCAGTGGCGCAAGCTTTCGAGTCGAGTAACGTGCGTGCATGCAGAAGCGTCCATACAAGTATCTGAAAATGTCCGGGGCCCGATTAGCTGCAGACCGGCTTGGAGCCTGTGAAATGGAGCTGATCGCTGTACCCTACTAACAATCAGTAGAAGCGGCTGGAATGATCGCTGCGTGGGTGGAAACAGGACGCAACGATGGAAACGCTGCAACTTTACTGTATATACAGGGAAAAATTGGTGGCGGTGGTGGTAATGGTAATGGTGATGGTAATGGTATACGATGTATATCAAGGGGGAGAGTCCAGAGAACGGCCGCGGTAGGTCCGAGAGGCTCTACCTACGATTGGGTACCTACCTGTTTACGTACACGTACGCCATCCAGCAGATCTTGAGTGACCACACCTACTTTGTAGGACCTCACCGCGGATACTGTAGGTAGGTCGGTAGGTACCTACCTAGTCGGCGGCATGATGCTTCTCTACGGTACGTACCTTCCCCGGTGCCCACCACTGCCAGTGTTATTGTCTCCATTTCCCCGCTAGCTCCTACACAGCTTATCCATCCGATACGGCAGCAAGCCGCTTGTGTCGGTTTCATCGCTTCAACTTCGGCCACTTCGGTCGAACTAATAGCGTTCCAATTGCAAACACTCTTCCAAAGCGCCTCAGTAGACACAAGTCTTGATACACGCACCGCCCTGCGTATAAAAACAATATCCGCCACTTTGTACTGAGATACGCAGCCAAGGCGGTTCCTCAACCCGGCTATTTTCCGGGAATAATCCATCACACCCACTGTTATGTGGTAGTCGAAATCTGCTCTGAATTGTACATCTTTGAAGGGACTAGACTTGGGAAGAATCCCCGGAAGATTGATTGGCGGTTTGACTAAACATCGTCTGCAAATGCAGAGCCTGCAACTTCTCTACGTAACAGACCCATGTCTCAAGCTGCTCGCATGGCCAAACACTGGCCACGGCCGCCTGTACTTGGTTAATTCGGGACGGCAGAAACGTGCAGCATGGAAGCAACTTCATGAACATTCACCGAGCACATATGTATCCGGAGAACACTCAGTTAGATGTCAAATGTCTTTCAATCGACTGAGCGGTACGAAGCATCCAACTGCACAAAACTTTGGCTACGTTCTTGATTAGCTGCTACTTACTACTCTATATCTGAATGTCCCGGGTTGCGGACACGCTCTTGTGTAGGGCGGCGATGATCCATTGGTAAATGAATAGCAACTATTTGCGACGATTGTTTATCGGAGAGAACGAACGGAAGGGCGGCTAACAGATCGATCGACGGAGCAAAGAATGACCAGCACTCAACGGCTGGCCCGTAATGCTCAATACTCAGGAACGGCTCCATTCCGAGGCCGAGCTGGGCCACGCTAGACGCCTGCCAGAGTAGACCGACCCGAGGAAACGTTAGGACGTCATCGTGTGGAGGCTTGGTACACAGAATATAACTCCAACTCAACGTGTTTGATGTGAGGCAATGCAAGATTAAGTAAGGCATACAGGAATTGACAGCGAGCGATCATGCCTTCAAAGCAGCCCGTCGCGCCTGGTTTATCAGCCGAAGCAACTATCAAGCTACCTTTGCACTTGCGGTTGTCCTTGTCAATGACAGAACATGCTGTCTTGGCCTTCAGGCCAAGGCTCGGACTGGCAGTAAGAAGGTCGGCAAGACATGTAGTCAGATGTCATTCAAGACCGTAGATTGCGGTATCGAGTTTCTGTTCCGAAATAAACAGGATGTTGAGAGGATAAAAGAATTAAGGTGAGAGACAATCGCATAGTCACCTGCAGGTGTTCTACCTTATCGTACAAGGGAACAGTGTAGAAAAAAAGAAGGGAGGGTAAGGAAGGTAGATACTACAGTGTAGGCTGGCAAGGTACCTACAACGTAGGTAGCTAGTAGGGTAGGTACCTACTTCAGATGGATTGTGGGGTGGAAAGACTCCGTCCGGACACATTTGCGGTGCTTTCCTCGGCGGCTTTTTCATTGCTCCCACCGTTGAGTGCTCATCTTACCGTAAGGCTTTACGTCTTTACACGGTACTTGCGACACAGACTCGTTACCGGCTAGTGTAGGCCTGCTGTGCTGTGCGGCAATTATTGTTACGACTTTCCAGACAAACGGCAGAAGCCGCTAAGCACAGTGTCGATGACAGTGTTAGGCCTCCTAGCCCCTCCCTGAACAAGCAAGTGCCCTTCTTTACTTGGACCTCTCCACTAATTCGCCGTACATACCGCCGGGCCACCCAGAATCAGCGGATGGACGATCCTCTCTGAGTCTCCTCCAGTGCTGGTTTGGTTGTTCTCCCTCCTGCCCGCCAACCAACCGTCCTGTCGCCTTACCTCACCTGACCTCACTCACCATTCAACTATTGACCTTGTCCGTGTCCGAGGAAAAGGGAGGGAAACCCCCCTGTACCTTCGCGTCACCACCCGGGAAATGGACACTCCCACTAAAGCTGCAATTCGCCCGCCCGTCCGCCCACACCCACGCCCACACCCATCAACGCCCACGCCTCTTCCATATGACACGGACCACATAGGCCCTAGACTGGACTGGACTAGACGAGTGCGCTCTCTGCTGCTCTCCTCTCTGGCTGATTGCTTCTTCACATCTTCTCCCGTCCCAACCAACTTCGAACACCACGCCCAAGACGTTACTGCCACTGGCCACAGCTCTTCACTAACATTGCCCGGCCTCGATTCCGCAGCAGACTTTCCTTCATCGCCTACACTTATCAAACGATATCTTCTTCGTTTGTGCTGTGGGTTTTCGCCTATCAGCCCCCGTCTTACCAGCATTCGATTGCGGTACCTTATCCGCTGCCCTTCGCAATTTCCTCCCGGGGCTTTTCGCTCTTTCAGCTTGAATCAGAACGAAGTCTGCACAGAAGAAACGGCAACTTGAAATTCGTCCTACTTACTCAGACTCTCTACCGATGGCCTCCGATGTCTAGCCATGTGTGAGCTGCCACTGTTCGGCATCGTCGACTTTCCGAGTCCAACCTACGCTCAAATCCGTTCCGATTAGATAGCATCTGTCAACGACCATATGCTGCACTCGTTTGATCCCGTTCCCCCGTTCTCCAGGCTGCGTCATCGTCTAGTACGATAGCAGGAACATGGATCCGCCTCACATAACTGAGTTCGCTTCCGAGCGCTACTTCAGTAAACTTAGCCAACTCAGCGAGTCTCCCACGACCCATGATGCTCAGCAGCACCATCAACTACGCGATCCTCCATTACTTCCTCCGCAACCTTTTTCTACGCCACCGCCTCTCTCCCATCATGTGCAGCCTTCTTCCTTCATTCTCCCACTTCGTACATCGAAAGCGAATGAATCCGAAGTCGATTCCCCTCGCCCGTCAGACCAGAAACGCCCCGAGAAAAGCCGTTTGTTTAGTCTTCGATCCAAGGTTTCGATTCTTCACGCCAAGTCTTCTCCATCACAATCCGATCCGCACGACCCTACTGCAGGGTTCCTCAGACCCAAAACGTTTGTTACCCCTATTCCTCCCTGTTCAATTCTCAGGACACGGCCAAAGGCATTGACGGAAAGCCTAACTCATCTACAGACAATCTTTCGGCCAGTTATTCCTTGCCCTACCTACCGAACTTCAGATTCAGGTCATTTCCTCCCTACCGCTTACCGATGTGCTCAACCTTCGCCGAGTCTCGAAATCTTGGCATGCCATCGTCACGTTGAACGAGGCTCCTATTGTTCGGCACCATCTAGAGCGACACATCCCGACATATGCCCTACGTTTATATCCATCGAACGACCCTAGCGGCGCTAACTTTCATCACCTATGCGGTCTTTGGCACCGCCTACATGTTGCGGCTAAACTCTCATTTCTCATGTGTGAGTGGATCACAAAAGAGATTTTTCTGAGGACGACAGAAGTGCAACGTCTCGAATTTGCGCCGCAGCGGGAACGCATGCGCCGGCGCCTTATTCCGCTATTGTTTACCGTATTTCATTTCTTTGAAACCTACCGAAAGCTACATCTACAGCATATCCTCGACCACAACGGCCACGGCTTGCTACAAGTGCCCTATACATTAAATCCTATCGAGGTTGAAATCATGAACATGTACGACGACCAGACGCTTCTGCGCGTTCACCAAGTCTTTCCGCTCATCATCTCTTCATTCTGCCGAAGATTGCGTCCACCATCATATGCCGGTCGCGTCGAACGATCTCTTAGGGGTTACTTGAAAGAAAGGCCTTCAGACGAAGTCCACGTTGCCATTCTGTGCGTTGGTGGTTTGCGACAAGTGGAAAGGCTTTGGGAGATCAAAGGATACAACAGCAGGAGGGGAGCGGTTGATACCTGGTATAATTCGATTGCAAAGGATTCGACTGAACCAACCGGCAAACAACGACGGGGCATCATGGGTCTGGGCCGTAAAAAGTCGACGGTATCTGTTAAGGAGTCGCCCAAATCGACCTCACAAGAGGGGTTTCCAGCACGTCGCGGTTCGAGGACATCTCTGGAGGATCCCGTCGATCCCTACGATACGAACTTGGTCTTCAACACTAGCCTGGCGGCCGGTATGCCCATGGGGCCATTGGGGCGCGAGCATTTGCGTTACATACTTGCGGACTTGCCTAGTTTGCAGGAAATCTGGCTGAAGACAGCCGAGGCTCTGATATTAGAGAGAGGTATTGTGGAGCGTACTCAAGACATTAAGCGCAATGCACAAGTCATGTTGGAGCTGATTCGCGACGACGGGATGGATGAAGAGGACGAGTGGTGGTATGGGCGTAGCACCCCTGAGTCCGTTCGCCCTCCGCTCGAGGCGATAGACGAGGACCCTATGGACAGCGGCACATAACAATGGCACGGCGTGTTGGGCATTTATGGGCGTTTAGGTCAACCAGGGAAATCGGCTTTTGGGGCAAAGGCGCAGGGGCGCCCTTTTTTTATTTTATTTTTTATATACGGACTACCACAATGCTCTCTTTTGTCGGAACTCGCATGGGCAGAGGTACAGATATGGATAGAGATACTGGCATGATTTTGTTGTAGTATCCCCTTTTTCTATGTATTCACACCGGATACGTCTGGTACTTTTTTTTCAACTCAGTTGTAACAAGTTGTTTTGATCAAAAAGACCCTTGTTCCAACGCGTCAAACGCTCATACTGGACCGTTCCTTGCCCAATGAGAAGAAGACAACACGAATAAGCCATCGTCGAGGTTCCGTAGTTGGCACAGGTAAGTTGACCCACAAGAGATGACATACATGTACAGATGGAATGACACAGCTACATCATTGTATACTTCGAGAGAGCGAATTGCTTCCTAGAATTCGATAGATATGGCCTGTACAGTCGTTCACGGTTCGATAAAAATGCATACAGGCTATTGTTGATAATACAGTCATCACGGATGCAGCGTCTTGCTGGTTATTAGCGCCTCAAGCTATGATACATGCGCTCCCTCAATGCAGACTCTGTGTTTCCGCCATCGAAAGATGGCAGGTTCATACTTGAAGCTGGGCCATAGGATGAGTGGATATTGGGCGAGGCTCGTTGCAAAGCCCCATCGCCGATATCGTACGACGTCGAATTCAGGTTTAAGCTAGCTTGGCTAGCTGAGTCGAGTCCCGCCACGTCGAGAAAAGATGAATCAGAATAGTCCTGGAACGAAGAAAGGTCTGAGCTCTGCGATCGATGTGCCTGGCGTTTCTGGAGTGCGGGAGGGTGGTGCTGCATGGAGCGTGGCATGGGACTATGATGATTGGTCTCTTGCGTCGGTATCGGTACTGCCATCTGCGCATTGAACGGTGGCTGTTGCACGCTTGTCAGCTCGTGGTAGTCACGTCCACTGATCGATGAGGTAAAGGGGCTCCCGCTTTGTCGAGCTGTCGAGGTCATTTGGCCAGTCTTCGGGTTGGTGAGACGATGCTGGCTGGTAATTGGCTGCTTGTGTGTAGGGGATGGTTGTTGTTGCTGTTGCTGCTGATGACGTTGATGAGACTGAGTAGGCTGGACCTGGTCATGTATGCCTTGTACAGCTCTTCGTGGTATATTCATGGTAAATGTGTTCATAACCTCTGGTCTTTCTGCCTGTTGTTGGCTAGTCCCTGGGGTTCCCCTATTGCTGCTGAATCCCACAGGCGTATCGAGCTCAGATTGCCGGTTGTTGGGAGTTTGCTGAAGCGTAGATCGGCTCGCAGAAATGCTCAGCTGATGCCTAGACTTCTGCAAGCTGCTACCGCCAAGCCCGTCGAGATTTGCTTCATAGTGACCCGCTGATGAATCTGGTTGGGACCTGTGTGACTCGGTTTGGATGGCCTGTCTGATGTGGCCACTCAATTCGCGTTCTTGTTGAAGCTCTGTGGAAACCCTCGGTCTCTTCGCTGGTTGATATGCGCGTGCACTACCCGGATTAATAGAATCGTGATATCGAGCCAGCTGCGGTGAAGAGCCTCTATGGGATGTGACAGTCTCAACAGTTTCGGACGGACTTTGTGCCGGGGCTGGGGCAATGGTATAGTGAACATCATAAGGATTGGATTGGATTCCTTCTTGGGCAGATTTCCGCTTCCGCTTAATACCCTTTGAATCTCCTCCGTTCTTCAAATCGTCTCTAACAGCTTCTCTGGCAGGCTCTGATAATGAAGGGCGATGTATGACCGCGACGGTATTCTGCGGCGGCTCGGTTTGAACAAGCGGAAGGATCGTGATGGCGGATGACGAATGAGAAGCGTACTCTGCAGCATTCGGAACTACCTCTTGCTCGCGATGGTCAATATTCGTTAACGCTGGCATCGAATGAGGATTGTGCTCAAATGCGGGTACTGTTTCTTTAGGTCGGTTTTTGGAACCCTTGGGACGTCCTGGTCCTGGTTTCCGTTTCTTAACACCGACCATTCCGGGTTCAACAGGATCATTGGGTGTGTTTGAGGGTATTGACACTGCCGAGGACCTCGCATCGTCTGCCACTTCATTCGACAACATAATGGAACCAGTTGCTGCGCTAGATGCATCCTGGGCACTCTCGATTTCGTCGTTCAATATAGTCTTTTGTTTTGGCCGATTTTTGGAGCCTTTCGGCCTTCCTCGCCGCTTCGGAGCCAACGTAACAGGAGCTGCCTTGGCAGGAGCGCTGCCCAGCACACTGTCAGCAGCATTTGGTCCAGCCATGACTTGATCGTTGCGAGACGGGGTCGTGGAGCTTCGCTCCAGCTGCCCTTCAAGAATCTGTCCCTCGTTTCCTGTGGTATTATCCATGTCGACCCAGCTGTCGTCCGGGACAGACTCCCTGACTAAACCACTGGTGACAAGGCTGTATCCTGTGGGATCTGCTGAGGGGCCAGCAGGAACAAATCGTTTCCTAGCAACATTGTCTTTCTTTCCCTTCGTATTCTTACTTCCTTTGGGGCGACCTCGTGGACGCTTCAACGGCGGGTGCTGTACACTCTGTATCGACTCTTCACCGAGGGCTGGGAAAATTTCAGCAAGCCAGCCCACAAACAGGGAACCAGGTCCGTTAGCTTTTGCGCTGTCTGGAAAAGCTTCATTGGCGGGAGACTGCGTATCGGAACCCTCGCCGAAGAAGGCAAGTGCCTTGCACAATTGATCAACGACTAGAACAGGCTGCAAGCTTCGCAATAAACTCAGTAACCGAGCCTGTTCGGCCTTGGTTTCGGCCACGGTGAGTGGCGAGGTCCTCTGCCAGGCTCCATCGGACTGTTGCGGGCTGGACGCGACTTGATCTTCGGGCCGATATATGAACTTGCTGCGTTTGAAGGGAACATAGCGATCGGTCTGAGCTCGTTTGGCCGCAAGCTGGGTTCCCTCGCTTGTGCGCTTCGCTGCCGCGTCACGCTCCTGGGTTTCGTTGGTGGTGGAAAGGTCGATGTGCATGACCCCGAAATTCCCTTTTCTAGCGTCCGTCTTGCCCTTCAGCTTGCTGGGGACAGGATTTCGGACGCGCCCATCTCTATATAGACCTAGAATATCATCTTTCGCGGGTGGACCTGTATGCTGCAAAATACCAAATCCATGAGCATTGTCTGAGACTTGAAGGTTAGCAGCGTTTGTTACAGAACCTCACGCCGAGCAGCCAACCACCAGACAGCATCGGACAACCAGGTTCAGCTCACAAACCTTTTTGTTTAGTAGAGCCTGACACAAAGGTTTGCGAGGTAGATCGAATCGGGGTGACGATCTCGGTACCGGTACGGGTGCCAGAATGCTCGAGCGAGGTGGACGCCACAGGCTTTAACGGTTGAAGTGATGCTAACGCGGCCGCGATTAGTCGGAACGTTACGCGTAATGGGCTGGGGCAAAAGGCGATATCATACCTGCGGTTGTAGCCATTGTGTGTGCAATCGTTGCATTGAGTAGACTTCATCCCCAACCCAAAAGAAAGACACCTTTGCGGCCCCGCTACACGCCCCCGTACAGCTTAGCTTCGGGTTCGGTTTAGCGTAGGGATTGGATGTCTAGGCTCGTGCTACTAGAAGAGAGCATCACGAAACACAACTTGGTATTTAAGGGGGCCCAATACCGTATGGTTGTTTACCGAGTCAATCTCACAGATATCCAAGAGCTTGGTGCCATCGTCATCGTCATTCGGCACAGAAGCGAACAAGAGAGATGGCCGCGTCAAACGGAGCAAAGTAGATCTGTCGTGAGTTTCGAACGTGGTGGATGGGTTCGTTAGATGCAAGCAAATCTGCGGTTGCGCCACGTTTCGCGATGAGAGACCACCAAGGACGTCGGGACGTTCGTTATGGAGATTGAGACCTCTTCGCTATGGGATGAAATTGGAGGGGCGTCGACAGCCAGGATGAAGTTATCGAGGAGCTGACGAAGTACACCGTGAGAAAGTTAAGAGCAGTAGAGAAGATAAGACAGAGGAGTAAAGGCGTAGAAGAGAGGGGGGGTGGCAGGACAGAGAGAGTATCTAAGTAGGTAGCTGTCGAGGAAGAACTACCTTAGCTACTATTACCTTGGGAAGCGAAGCGCATACAGGATACAGGAGCGCTGTTAATGGCCGAGGGTAGACAGTACCGTACTGTACAGCCCAACGCTCGGCATAAAAGAGAAGAGGTACCTAACGGGAGACCACATGCCGTGTTGCAGTACATGCGATACGCACGTAAAATGGTGGACTGTGAAAGTACCGTCAGTATTGGGATATGAGCACCTGATTGAATGGTAAAGGTACCTAATCAGCATCACTGGGACCACCATCTTGGCTCTAGCTCAATTCCAAACCGAACTTCTTCCACTTGCTCCCACTCCGTCCTGTCCTCGATTAACTTAGAGCCTCTCGTATACTACTATTCTGTCGCAAGAATTGGCAATCCCCATTGCTTACTGCGGGCAATCCCTACAATATCTAGTCAGAGGTCAGTCCCCTAGAGCGCTCAACGCTGCTTCTGCTGACCCGCCGCCTACCTAGTTTGCGCTGTCTTGCGTCAGCTACACACTTACCTTAGCTCTCCTCGACACCTCATAGCTTTGTGCTACTACATCGTCGTCGCGCTCAGAACCCACCTTCCTCCAAACGCCCTCATATACAGACACGCATGGATAGTTAATCCTCGTCCGATTCAAGAACATGTCCACCAAATACGCTCTTGTCTCTCTGCCGCTTGGCATCTTCGACTCCAGCGACAAGGAAGAGGCCGTTGCCTCCCTAAGCGCCACCATCTTGCCCGAGAACGGCAACGTCCGCCCTTTCAACATCCCCGATTTCAAAATCGGCACTCTGGATGCCTTGGTCCAACAAGCCGATGATCTAGCCAAGCTGGAATCCACCTGTGCGGCCGTCGTTGCTAAGGTGGCTGACTCCTTGAAATTGATTCTTGACGGCGATGAAGACAAAATCTCCCAACAGAAGATGGTCAATGATAGTGAGATATCCTCAATTTCCCTAACGTCCCTGCCACACCATCTGCAATACTCGGCAAGTCGCTAAGGTGCATGTCTTCCAGAGCCCACCGATCAATACGTTAGCTCTTTCTCCTGGAATAGAGTCCGATACCGCGCCGACAAGTCTTTGAGTGAACTTGTGGATACTTTACAAAAGGTATGTGAATATCGCTCTTGCCAGGGAACGACAAATTGTCTGTTCGGTGCTGTATCTTAATTTTTTCTTCCTGCACCCCAACGCTTGTTTTCGTGATCCTGGCCGAGGTTAAATGCTACAAACATGCCAAACCAGGAGGCTGACCAGCCATCAGGAATTAATCACCACCGACAACGACGTCAAGAGCAAGTTCAACCAGTATAACTCAGTTAAGACAAACTTCACCACGCTACAACGCAAGCAAACGTACGCGCTTCTAGAAGCTCATCGCGACGTTCCATTTGCTGACATTTCCATGGCAGTGGCAACCTCGCGACCAAGTCCCTTACTCCCGTTGTTGATCCAGCACTGCTCATCCAGGATTCCGAATACCTCGAGACGCACCTAATCGTTGTACCGAACAACGCGAAGAAGGATTTCTTGAGAAGCTATGAAACACTGGCACCAATGGTCGTTCCCCGCTCTGCCGTCCAAGTTGCCTCCGATGAAGAGTTTACCTTGTTTGCCGCCACAGCCTTCAAGAAACACAGCGCCGAATTCCTACAAAAATGTCGTGATCAAAAGTGGACACCGCGACAGTATAAGTACGTCGAGGGCGGCAAAGAAGAGGAACAGCGCGAGCTCGATCGAGTAGCCCGCGAGGAGAAAAAGACATGGGGAGAAGCTTTGAGAATTGGCCGGACTGGTTGGAGCGAGAGTGTGATGATCTGGTTACACGTGCTTGCACTACGCGTGTTCGTGGAGGCAGTACTTCGCTATGGACTTCCCCTCGATTACGTCAGTGTCCTTGTCAAGGTTCGCCTCCCCCCCCCTCCTCATCCTCCCAGAGCGGCCAAGAATCCACGCGGCCATTGTCGCCCATGGTACTAACTTGTCCCATTTGAGACCAATTCGAAAGTGTGCAAGAAAGTCAAGACTGCACTCGACTCCAATTACTCGTATCTGGGAGGCAACGCCTTTGGGAGAGACAAGCGCGGTAAGATTACCAAGGACGACGCAATGTTGTCTTCTGAGATGGCCGCGGCTGGTTTGGGCGGGGGTGAGGGCCATGAGTACACAGCCTATGTGTACTACGAGTTCGACTTTCCCTGAGCACAGAATCTCGTGGTGAGACTAGGGACACAAGCAGCCACCCCCTCAGACCTGTATGTATGCATTGAGAATCCAACGGATGGATTTGGGGGACAATGGAACCATAGATAGAAGAGCTCTGGGTGTTACTACTTCAACAGTTTCTAGTCATGGGAGTACAAGGGATAGGAGGCGATTGAAACACTTTGGGTATATCTTATGCTGTTTTTCTCGTGGAAATAAGACCTTCCTTGATCAACCAGTTGGCAATCTGTGCCACGCACTCCTCAACACTGGATTTGTCGGTTCTGATAGTGATCTCGGGGTCCAGAGGCTCCTCGTAAGGGGCAGAAATTCCAGTGAAGTCCTTGATTTCTCCGGCTCTTGCCTTTTTGTAAAGTCCCTTCGGGTCGCGCTGCTCGGCAATCTCGAGGGGAACGTCGACAAATATCTCAATGAAGGGGATAGCATCGTCGTTGTTCTGGCCGGCCTGGGAGTGCAGCTCGCGCGCTAATTGGCGGTCGGCGCGGTAGGGAGAGATAAAGGAGGTAATAGCGACCATTGAAGAATCGGCAAATAGCTTGGCAACCTGTACCAATTTGACACATGCTGGTTAGAACGATTTCGCAAAAGAAAAATGCCCAGCCCAAGAGCCATGTAAGAATAGGCGCAGGGCATACCTCTGCTATGCGCCGGATATTCTCATTGCGGTCCTTCTCGGAGAACCCGAGGTCCTTGTTGAGGCCAAAGCGGACATTGTCGCCATCCAGACGGTAGGCAGCAACTCCCAGATGCAGCAGATGCTGCTCCAGAGCGGTGGCAACTGTAGACTTGCCAGAGGCGGAGAGGCCGGTCAGCCACATGGTGAAGCCACGTTGACCGCGAAGATGGTTTCGCTCATTGCGCGAGAGAGAGGGATGCCATGTGATGTTACTATCCAAACGAAATATATGCGTTAGCCGAGCACAAGTTGACTATCAACAGTAACAAAAAATAATGGTAACGTGGCGGGGTAGCGGCTGTAAGGAAAGTAACCAGTTTGAGTGACTGCGGGGTTGTGAAAACATGAGAGAGTGATAAACATTATGGAGAAACGAAAGTCGGCTCAAATCAAGGCGCATATCAGATGTCTGCATGTTGCGTACTCACGATGCCATTGCAGTATAATTTGGACAGTTGGTTATCGACAATTTCAAAGTTGTGGTAGGTGAGAGGTTGACAGCAGGAGAGACGGATGGGAAAGGACGGCACATCAGCCAGCTATATTTACAGTCTTGCTATGCAGAAAGTTGCAGCACGACACACGGGTCGATGGGCCGAGTAACGACCTTACTCCTCTAGGCTGAGACAAAAGAGACGTAAAAACTATGTCAGTACGGATACGTTGCAGCACAGCGCGGACTTGTGGATTGCGTAAATGAGTGAGAAAAGCGTCGTAACAGCATCTAAACTACATGCTCGCCCGCAACACTACGGGGCTAGATTGCCCCTCGTTCCACTCCCCGCTAATGAGTTTGCTTGAGAATGAATGTCATAGGCGGTCTTAGAAGTGCGTGGAGCGCACCGGCATCGGCGTCAACTACTTCCAAGGTAACAAGCGGGTGGAGAAATCACCGCCCGGTGATGGCGTCAGCAAGAAGGTGGATCAACGCTTGGCGGGCCTTCCTTTTCACAGCGCACCATCCATGTAGGTACATTGGGTAAGAAGCATTCCGGCCAATTCCAGTACCGACTCCCGCTCCGTCTGTGCCCGCCTCCTCGTCGGTGCCGAAGGCCGCGCGGAATCCGACGTTTGTAGCTTTCTCAGGTCTTTCAGCCCACGGGTCCCCAAGTTGCGGCTATGCTAGCTCCTTCGACTTCGCCATGTTGTGTCGCAAAACGTTGATGCATCACATGGCTTCTTTAGATTAATCTAGACTTTGAATTATTCTCGATATCTCTTTCTCGCCAGCCGGATTCCATCATGTTGTCCTCTATGGTGTGTCATCATGGATAAGTACCCTCTGGTTAACTAGAAACTGACGATTTATCTTGTACGTCGGTCTTAAGGTTAAGGCACTATGAGCAAGCAACCGCTTGCCATAGCAGACCATCTACGCATATTCTATAGAATATATGTATATATATATATATGACACAGACGACCAAATCTCAGTGTTTTGGTCCTCATTCGTTCCAATTGTGGTAATGGCTTCTCTCACAAGTTTGCCATCATCCCAGACATATCAACCAACATCTCACTGCGCGCCGCCGTTAATACTTCAAAGAGTTAAGCGGCCCTAATAGTCTATTCAAGCCTTCCAAAGAGATCCGTAGGTTTGCCGACTGCTCGACTCGCAAACGTCATTATCGGAACATCACTCTCAAGAAGTTGCATTGAGCTTCGCCATAATCTGTCGCTCGTGTCATTCTTAGGGTCATGAGATCTTGGGTGGAGGAAGTCACTAACCGCTGCAAACCTGGGAGAAACAAACAGCGCAGAAGCCTGTGCCAGAACCACAGGCTCCTCTCCCTCTGTTGCCAACGTTTCCAGCTGGCCCTCAACCCAAGCCTTGCGTCCTTCGACTCTGATTGTCCGCGCCCGCAACACGACATACGTGCCTGCGTGTACCGGTTTCCTGTAGTTGATCTCAAGCTTAGCTGTAACACCGACATTGTGTGGAAGCGCAGCAAAGCAGCACCGTGCCAGGCCTTCATCGAGCATGGTAGCAAGCAGTCCACCATGAACAATGCCAGGATGGCCGCAGACGTCGGTCCCAAGGTGAGAGATGGAGACGAGCGACTTGCCACCCTTCTCGGTCCAGCAGATGGGAGGGACTGAAATGCGTCCGGGGCCCAGGAGCGTGCCACCTGTAAGATTGTGACGTCGTAGAGTATCAGGAAGCCTCATGTGGGGACGAGACTCGGTCATGTCAGGGTTCTGTCGCATCTCCGCCGCAAGGGGATGGCCCTTGATGAAGTCGTCGATTGCCTTTGCTTCGTCATCCTCGGGGACATAGGCGCGCAAGCTATCCTCGTCAGAACGATGCCGTGTTACGTCGAGGAGACCAGGCACGAGAGGGCTCGTAGCTGCAGTAAATCCCAGACCTGCGAAGAGCAGCCCAAATGCGCTGAATGCGATGGCTCTACGAAATCGGGAGGGGGTTCGCATCGGTTGTGTGGCGGAATCTATTGGGCAGTCGCAAGTCAGTCAAGTAAACTACGGGCCAAAGAACTCGACAAAACCTCACCTGCGCCAACGCCTGTGTGGAAGCGTCGAATACACACCTGACGAAAGCGGCCAGATGACTGCAACATATGGGTTTGCACCGTCAGAGCAGGCCATGCGGACGGCCTAGGCAGCCGCTTCGACAGAACAAGTGGTGTTGTCATGATTGCGACCACTTCATGAGGTGGCGAGGCTCCAGGCAGGAACAACAAGTTCGCAGGCTGAAAAGATGCAGCTAGAGTTGGTTGAGGGTTGGGTAGGAGAACGCAGCATGTCCGCGATAGCCCCGATAAGGCACTGATAGTAGTATAGCATCACTACAGCGTGTATCGAGGGATGTACCTAGTATATGCACCAATTGAGGCTATATGATGCAAGTACATATAGCGCTGGGGCAAGTAATCGTAGCACACATATTCCAGGCAATCAACTTATCTACCCACGGGACCATCTCGCTGTAGCCTATTAACTGCATGAGGCAAAGACAGCAGATAGGATGGAACAGGCTTGTTTTCCTTATTGACTGCACCATTATGTGCCTTACTTTATAGGATGTTGCTTGTCTTCACAACCTTGCAATGCTTTGCCCAAATAGCAAACACACGATAAGCTCACATCCAGGCAGTTTACGACTTTCACGTTTGTTCCCTTACGGATTCACATAATCCTGTTTTGCGACCGTGTCACTTGGCCAGCAAGCAACCCTGGACACATGACATCACTCCCTCCTGAAACTGCCACAGTGTACCGTACTTCACAAAACAAGCCCGGTGGGCGGGGTATGGTTCATCACGCGGCAATATGGTGTCCAAAAATGTGTACTTCCTTCAGGGGTTTGGGTCCAATATCACAATTCCAAGCAACCAATTGCTTGAAGCAGCTAGGTTCTTTAGACTCCGTACCCCTCACTCCAGCTCACCTCTAGCTGTCCCCTCATGGATCAACAGGTGTTATAAGATACAGTTGTGGTAGCTTTTCAAAAGGTGCAACTCTGCCAGCCTTAGTTTTCATTGTTCATTAAGTAGCCAAGAGTTGTCTTATACCTCAGTCCAATACCTTGTAGCGCCACCTTGCCTCACAACAAGCACACCTCGTATCGCAAAGGCTGAAAGAAGTCATACTCAACTTGCTTGTGCAGTATACGTAAGACAAAGTCAGCACTATGGTATGTCCTTTATTCCTCTCATCGCTTGATACCTATGGTTCGGGATTTGGTTGCCTAACTCGTCTTCTTGCACGGCCTCTAGGCCACAGCTGAAACTGTAGACCTGGGCGAAGTACATGAGCCCAAGGAGGAATCCATCAAGGTTTTCAGAGAGATTGAGCATGATCTAAAGAAGGAATTGCTTCACATCCGACGGGAATACCAGAGTATTTTCTCCTTCCTCGTACCAGCTATGTCGCGTTTTCTATACGTCACATTTTTACGAAGAAGGTACTGGCGCTAACCATCACCCACCAGAGCACGAGCCCGAGTATTTTCAGGCCGTAGTAAGTCATCATGCTTCTCTCCCTCTTCGTCCATTTCTTCCACACTGACCCGACTTGCTGCAGGCACACCTCGATGATCACAAGCTAGCTGCATTTGGCCCGGACGATTTAGTTGCTGTAAGAGTAGCTGTCTCAGCCTACGGAATCCACCTTTTCGGCAAAATTCGCATCCCAGCCTTGCCTGATTCTGGGCCCGCCTATATTCACTTTCGGGCCTTTGTACCGGGAGGCGAACCACCAAAGCTCCATAGCATTCACACAGAGGAGAAAGAACACTCTGACGGTGACAAAACATATCGGGCCATATTCACCAATGGTGATGCGTTGGAATGGTTTGATACATAGGGACAAGGTGCTAGTAGTAGGGCACCAAGGACGTTTTTTGTTTGATCTTGCCGACGTTTTTGTATTAAATGCGCAACACCAGTTGAATAACCACCGTCTCAATTCCCTTAGATGTCCTCCTCCTGAGCCAGCAGTTCGGCATAATCATCAGCCGAAGCGAACATGGGCAGATCCTTGAGTTTCCTTTTCGATGATCGACTACCACGCTTGCTCTGTTCGCCAATCTCCTCAGATTCTTCGGGAAGTGCATCGAGTTCGGGACCCTCCTCACCATTACCCATCTCGTTGTATCCTCCGTCTTCGTCGTCCTCGTCGTCCTCCATAGTCTTATCAACCTCGGCGCTGTCGGACAGATCAGCGTCAGAACCGTCAGAGAATATGACACCACCATCGGAACCGTCATCACTGTCACTAAAGCCGTCCATGTCAAGGTCAGATTCCTCGCTGTCGATTGGGCCGTCCGGATGTGAAGCAGTAAGGGCCTTCCATATCTCATCCTCTTGCTCGGTGTCATCCACGGGTTCGGCTGTCATGTGCGCAGACGGCGTAACTTCTTGCTTGCCTGGCTCGTTCTTCTTGCCTGCCTGCTTGAAGTATTCGTGGAAAAAGATATCCTCCGCCGCAACCTGCTCGACCTTCTTGTTCCAGAAGCTTGGCGTGTTGAGGGGCGCAGCAGCAGCTGAGCCAGTTCTCTTTGCAAGCCAAATGCTGCCTGAATCCGGGTTGCGTACTGGCTGCATAATGGACGCTCCTCGGGCAGTCTCGGCCACCTTGGGACTGCGATACACAAACTTGTCAAGGAAGCGAATCAGGCTGTAGCTCTCTAGGTCCGGTTTGGTCATCTGCTTCTCGTTCGAAAATAAGCTGGCGGCGAGCAACGAAACGGATGGATGGAAGTGAGTAAGGGGAGGAATCTGTGTGACTGTTAGCGATTCGAGCTTGTGTGAACAAGTAAAGATATAGAAGTACAATTTCCCAAAGACAACTATTCTGGGCATTGCTATGCTCAGGGTTTCGCTTTCGGCCGTCGTACGCGGTTCCTCTGGAAATGGATCTGTTCTGCTCATGGTCGATAGCCTGGCTATTTGTCTCTTCGATGTCGTTCTCCTCGGGCTCCTCGAGAAGTGCCCTGAGATCTGGGAACTGGGTCCGCAGCTGGAACACCACATACAACAACCCACAGGCGAATGCTGGTTGATGCATGTTGAGGATCTGCAACATTCTTTTGGCAAAAGCCTTTATCCGTCGAGTGTCAACATCGACCTTCAAAGATCTCAGCAACAGGTTAAGGTAAAGAGCATGTTTTGAGGAGTTGGCGAGCCGCGGGTCCAGCAGGGACTCGTACAATGTCCTGTAAAACCTGTCGGATGCCAGCTGCCTCGACACAGATATTTGCTGGATGAGGATAAGCGCCTGGATGCTAGTATTGAAGTTTGTAGAATGCGCAATGCGGAAAAGTGTATCCATATGAGTCTCCAAGCTGTCATCAAAGGTTAGCCGAGTACTTAGTTGAAAAAAAAAAAAAAAAAAAAGAGAGAGAGAGAGAGAGAGAGAGAAAGGTAAGGAGATCCGTACATGGAATTCTGTGCGGCTACAAATGTTACCGCACGATTAATACCTGTCAACACTGCAGTGACCAGCTTGTCAGCCGTCTCTGTCGTCACGCTGGAATCCTTGCCTGATGCTGGCTGCTCCTGTTGAGCTTCAGCAGGAGCTATCCCAAGGGCGGAGCTATGGAGAAGGGTGACGAATATATCGAAGTAGATACGGAGAAGCGTTTCCGCTGTGCCGACCTCGCGGTTGCTCAGGATCGTCTGGTTCAGCGTATTTGTAGCGTGATATTTCGCTCGGAAGGTCTGACCCGGCCGAAGCAGAACCTCTTGCTCGATGCCCTTAATGACCACCTGCTTCATCCCAGGATGGGTAGTCTGAAGTTGGAGTAGGAGATACGAGACCCTTGAGGCAATCTTGCGGTCCTTGTCGCCAAGTTTGTTGACCAGCAGTCTTAGTAAGTTCGTCTCTTGTTCCGGCTTGTCCTTGAGTAAGCCGTAAACGAAATCCAGAGACCGAGTGCGAGAGTATTCGATCTCATCATTGCACCATACTTCAAGAAGCTGAACGACCCTGAAGTAAGATGTTTTCAGCCAATCTTCAAATGCCCATTGGACAAGATGCGCTTCCGTAAGGCAACCAGGCAGGGGCTGGTTGGGGCTCCAGTTCCTGAGAGACGATCGTTGCAGGGCTCCGATCAGGCCTGGTTGGCTTTGGAAGGTTCGCAATCTTCTGTCTGGAGGCAGCATGAGACCAGGCCCAAGGAGATCGACCAGCGCACCGAGCGCTCCGATTGCCTGAGCACGACTTCTTTTGGCTGCAAGTCCCAACAACGATTCGAAGGCCTTGATGTTATGCAATGGTGATTCCTGGATTGCCAGCGTGAGTGCAGATACTTTATCGGATAGCGTTCCCGAGGACATAATGGTAGACAGAAACTTTCGAGACGATGATGCCAAGACGCTCTTGTTGTATGCTGATGCATCTGCCTCCAAGAGTGCCAAAGCATGGGTTTTCAGCGCATTGATGGCACCCAAGTAGCCATCTACTTCAGCAGAAGTTGGTTCGGGAAGCTGGCTTAATTCGGCACCGTGCCAGTCAGCACGAGGCTCGAATTTCTACGTGCAGCTTGGTAAGTAAAACGGCGAGTGACACTAGGCTGCGAGAAATGGGTATCTGCTCACGAACTGCTTCTTGGTCGCAACATTAGCCTCTTTAGGCATAGATTCTTGAGAAGGAGGTGTGAAGTTGTTGACATCAACTTCGGATAATGAGTCGCCCTTATCGAGCTGGCTATCTTCGTCGTCAACGTTGTCGTCGTCACTATCGTCGTTGGCGGTAGCTTCCTCGTGGTACTGTTGAAGGCCGAGCTGAGCTGCGAAAGCAGCCAGTTCATTCTTGAGCTTCCCGTCAACAACCTCGTCGGGCCCGGAGCTGTCCTCGCCAGCAATATCCTCCTGATCCGAGTCGATATCCCCAATGAGCTTCAGATCTTCTTCATCGCCACCCAGGGCACGAATCTCTTCCAGTAGATCATCACGGGAGAGGTTGCCACCGTGTCTAACTTCTGGCTTATTCGGTGCTTCCCGGGCACCATTTGTGAACCTTTCGCGTACCTGGGCTGGTTTCTTTCGCTGGTGAGGGCTCGCTGATGATTCGTCGGAGTGTTTTCGCTTCTTATTCTTTTTGGCATCTCCGCCTGTGGTAGGTCTGATAAGGGTCTTTTTAATTTTGGCTGTTAAGTTTGATAGCGACTGTTCGTCCAATTGTTCTGACCGGTGCCCTTTGCCAATAGACTGTCGTTTGTGCTTGCCCATGGTGCTAAAATGTCGCGGTTCGCGCGACGAAAAGACAACAAACTGGAACGCAAGTAATGTCCTTATTGACAGAATGAAAGTTTGGCAGTCGCTTGTCTTCAAAACGTTGCCTCCTTAACGATTGGCTCAATTGCACAATACAGGAGGATCGAAGCAGAAAAATGGGCAACTGAACTAAAGCTGCCAGAAGGGAGACTAAAAGAGAAAGAAAAAAAAAAAATAGATTTCGATAGCGGAAGTGGGGGTCCTATATCTTATCGATATGATGCACCCTACATGGGCGGGGCCCCTGCAGGAATGCTCCTGGGTACCTAGGCGGGACATTACAACCGATCTTGATCAGGTACGTCCCTTCATATCTCCTTGCACATGGTACTTACCTCAACAGCTAATTGATGTGAAAGCTCCAAAGGACCTTGTTGCTGCGCAAAGCTTCGAGATACTTTGCCTTATTCACTTTGATGTGGTTCATATTGTCTTTTTCCCCCCCTGATGTTTCAATATTGCCCTTGTCTGGATTGTCGCCTTAAACTCAAGGTATATATATCTCGTCAATCAGGCACTTTACATTGACCCATTTCACTACTTTTTCACTTTTTTCTCTTTCGAAGTGAGGAATTGGCTGGAACTGCACGTCGAGGGCTGAATATACCATCAGACCAACGTCCTCTATCATTAATGCCTTGCATACACTCCCTATGCCTGGACTCTTACATGCCGTACTAAACCACAGCTCACTCGCAAGTGGACCAAGCAACCGCGCTATTGCTCTTCAGATAGCCGCTACCTCCTGACGCAACCACAACGATCTCTACCCGCCAGTCTATCGCTCACGTACAGAAAAGGGGGCCCTCTTCCACATTGCTAGCTGGCTGGTCCTGGGGCGACCCGGTTTTCAGTCCCTCAAATAGGCTCTGGGGCTTCTCCGTCTGCTACCGCCGCTCCCTAATCCAGTGCTTCTCGTCGACGTCTGACCATTCTGCCCGGCGACTGTTGAGGCAGATCAAGCAACTGCTGTACTACCATCGAATGGTCGCTTCCGTACCGTTGCCGAACATGGTTCTGTCTCGGGCACGAAGACTTGTTCCTTTGCCATTGCTTTATTCTCCCGTCTTCGCCCGCTGCAGCTCATCACTGGTGGGAGATAACAATGTTAGTCGCAGCTTCTCGGTTTTCCATACTAAACTTCCCTTCTGATTGTCTACCTCCAGACATTTGCTCGCAACTATCATGTAGCGCGTAGAAGAAATCGATTATCCACTATTTGGGTTCCTACCGGAGGTATCACGCCTGGTCAAGATGAAGGTACGCATACGGCTCTGTGTATGGCCGTTCAAACCTAACAAACGACTCGATTCCCACTAGGTGCACAGGACAAGCTCATCCGAGCCGGGTTTCTCAGACAGGTGAGTTTACTGCAGAAATGATGATCCTGGCACGAAATCCTGCTGATTCGACTGCCTAGTCTCACTCTGGCATTTTCCATCTCCTCCCTCTTGGCCGACGCGTCCAGGACAAACTGGAGCATGTCATCGACTACTACATGCAGGACCTGGGTGCGTTTATTAAGGGTCATGCATCGCTTTGGCCAAGTTGCTGATGGTTGGTATAGGAGCCTCCAGAGTCGCTCTGTCCACCATCACTTCCAAGGACCTGTGGCAAAAGAGTGGTCGTCTGGCACAGTTAGAGCCCGAGGTTTGTCTACGTGTTTAAAATGTATCACCACTCATCCTAATCACCCGGTGAAGCTCTTCGGCTTTGATGATCGCAGAGGAGCGAAATACATGTTGTCGCCCACACACGAAGAGGAAATCACTACGTTGGTGGCAAAGACTGTCAAGTCGTACAAGGACCTACCTCTTCGCCTCTACCAGATCAGTAAGTCGCCAGTATGACGCTAAGCACCCTGAAGGCATCTCAATAACTCATAGGGGCTATGTAGCACGTAAATTTCGCGATGAACTACGTCCCCGACATGGGCTTCTCAGAACCCGCGAATTCACAATGAAGGACTTGTACACGTTCGATGCTTCGGCCGAGGCGGCCTTGGAAACGTACAACAAGGTCCAGTCAGCTTATGCTGGTGTCTTCAACGCCTTAAAGCTACCCGTGCTGGTAGCCAGAGCCAGTTCTGGAGATATGGGGGGCGACCTTAGCCATGAGTACCACCTCCCCACCGCAATTGGTGAAGACACCGTGGTCACCTGCAGTAAATGTGACTATACAGTGAACGCAGAGGTTGCAGAGACAAGAGCTGTCGAACATGGACAGCATTCGAATGGCAAGACGGGGCCGGAAGGCAGTGCGACTCCTCCCGCAAAGGTTTGGCGAGGTATTAGCAGAGACCGCTTGACGTTGGTGAATGCGTGGTATCCAGGGCAGCTACAGCAGGGGACCAACCTGTGTGAGATGGGGCCTTGCGATGTCAGCATTCCGGTCATCAAATCTGTCATACCTGACCTTGATGCAAGTATCGATGATGTTGCATCTTTATGGCGGGGTGCACTCGCCGTTTCGCTCACCAGCGAAAAGGCCCCTACCAGCCGACCACGAATCATCAACATTGTAGATTCCAGACTGGCAAACACCATTGAAGAAGTGCTCCGAGATGAGCATAGGGTGTGGCCCTTGTCTGGATCAAGGATGGCAAAAGCGGAAGTACAGTCCACCACGATTACGAAAAACAGGAATGGCCAGCTACTCAACCTTCTCGCCGTTCGTTCTGGCGACAGGTGCCCTAACTGTGATGATGGTGTCTTGCGGGTGCAGGAGGCTCTGGAGGTGGGGCACACTTTCCATCTAGGAACTCGATACTCGGAACCACTTGGGGCAGTCATCTCGGTCCCTAAGGATAAGGGTCGATCCGGCACATCGGAGAAGACGACACTTATGCAAATGGGCTGCCACGGAATAGGCGTTTCACGTCTTATTGGTGCCGTGGTCGAACATCTGGCAGATAGCAAAGGTCTACAGTGGCCTCGCGTCATTGCCCCATACGAGGCCGTGGTTATTTCTGCGACAGATCTTGATAAGGAGGCAGTCAAGGTTTATGATGAGATTACGGCATACTCTAGAGACTTCGATGCGGTTGATGCGGTGCTGGACGACCGGACAGTGTCCCTGGCATGGAAGCTGAAAGATGCGGACCTTGTAGGATACCCAGTTCTCATCGTAATAGGCAAGGTATGGAAGAAGGAAATGGGCATCTGCGAGGTCCAGTGCAGAAGACTGGGTGTAAAGGAAACGGTCCCACTAGCGAATCTTCATCGGCGGGTATCTGAGTTGCTCAAGCAGCTTTAGATTTTGGACAATTCGCACACTACCAGGACAGGCCATCATTCTCATCATGCCTCACATTTAAGGTCTATGTAAAATACAACATGTTTCAATCCCTAATGGCCGGCGTTATTGTCATCACAATCTGGAGCTCATTTGCAAAACCTAGCCTTCAGACAGCACACGTGAAAATACTGTCAGCAGCTCACGTATTTTTGAGTGGAGCGAAGGTGAATGGTGAGATGAGAGGTGAAGCGATGGGATAGGGGAAAACAGGCGTTGGGGAGATGTGTGGGGTAGTCACGTGAAGGTGATGAACAGGAGCGAGGGCGAGTGGAGGACGGCAACTGGAGGGAACAGTATATATCAATGCCTGCCTAAGTAGATTGCCGCCTCAGAAAAAAAAACCCTCTGTGTAAAACTTAACCTCTCCATTCATCTTCGACCGATCGGGTGGTCTCAAGCCGATCGAAACCACCAAACTGCTTGACAAATCGCGCTGCTCAAGCCCAACACTTTATCTTCCACCATGGCGGCGCAAGGTTCCGAGACCAGTAAGTGTCTTCTTTGCCGGCTGTGGTGGTATTAACAAGCGCCGAGTTCGTAGTGTTTTGCTAACCATAAGTTCATAGTCAATCTTGAGATGTTAGATGTCCAGCAGCTCAGTCAGGTCAAGAAGCAGCTGGAGGAGGAGCTAGAGCACTTGACGAACTCCTTTGCGCAGCTGCACAGCGCCCAGGCCAAGTTCAGAGAATGCGTTCGCTGTATCAAGTCGCGCCCTGGTTCCGATATTGGTTCGCCCAGTCCCTCCGTGTCTTTCCTGTGTTACTATGTGTGGTCGTATCACATGCTGATTTGATAACTCCACAGGCGAAAAGTCGGTCCTGGTTCCCTTGACTAACTCCCTCTATGTGCGCGGGGAGATATCGGACCCAAAACACGTCATCGTCGACGTCGGCACCGGATTCTATGTTGAAAAGGCATGATAAACTTTTAATTCTCATAGGCACCTGTTTCTGTATGCATCTTTTTTACTAACAGCAAACTCCCTACAGGATACAGAGTCAGCTGAGCGGTTCTACAAGGCAAAGGTACAGCAGCTTTTGAACAGTACCCAAGACCTTGAAAGTATTATTCAACGCAAGAGTTTAAATATACAAAGCGTTGAGGATAGTGAGTAACACCTAATAGACCTAGGTAATAACTACTAACTTTATAAATAAAGTACTAAGACAAAAAGTACTACAAGGTTAAACTAGATAAAATAGAAAGGTATATAAATAGTAAGAGTATCTGGTATTATAGTGTTACGTTAGGTAATATAGACCTCTTAATAGCTATTCTAGATCTAATAGGACAAGTAGGCTATAGAAGCTACTAACCTAGAAGGGCAGTAGTAATATATAGAGACATAGACAGTAAAAGCATAAAAATAAAGTAAATAAAGTAAAGAGGAATAAAAGTAAAATAAATAATAAAGTATAGAAAAATAAAAGTAAAATAAATAAGTTATAAGTGAATATTATAAGTAATAGAATATAAATATAACTAATAGTATTCTTCTTAGGCTATCTCTTAAGAAGGTTACTTTTCTTAAAAACATAGGTTAAATACTTTAGAAGCTAGTAAGCCTTTAAGTAGTCTTTAATATATAATACTTATAATACTTATACTTATAATACTTATACTTATAATACTTATACTTATAATACTTATACTTATAATACTTATACTTATAATACTTATAATACTTATAATTATAATACTATTATAATATTAACTATTAAAGATAAATATTAGAGTTATTAGGTTAACCTTAATAACTTATTACTAGTAAATCCTTAGATATTTAGCTATAAATTCTCTAAGAATTTATAGGTAATAAGTTAGTTATTTAACTAGCTAACTTATAATAATTATCTTTTTCTTCTTTATATATAATATATATATATATATAGAAAGTAGATAATTATACTAAGTAAACTATATCTCTTTATCTTTTTATTATTTTAATAAGTTAATTTAAGTATATTTTATAAAATTAATTAAAACTATATATTACTTTATTCTTTATTATTATCTTAAACTACTTTATAGGTTTATATATTATATCTGGTCTTTTTATAATTACTATATTATTATATATATAGTTTATTACCCTTTATATAACCTTTCTTTTAGGATATTTTTTTACCTTTAGCTTTAATATTTTCTTTTTCTCCTTATAGTGCCTTTACTTTAGTTATATTAAGTAACCCTCTAAGATATAGTTAGGTCTTTTTAGCCCTCTAGTATTTACTAAGTACTTTTATCCTTATATAAAGTTTATAGTTCTTTACCTTAATAATAGTAAGTTAATATACTAACTTACTAATACTTTTTAACTATAAGTTAATTACTTTATATATTAGTATTAGTAAACTTCTTTAATACTCTTTAATTTCTTTTTAATAAAGTAAAGCTTTATATATCTTTAATTACTATTATTAGTGTTTTAAGGTCTTATAAGCCTAAGCTAGTTAATATAAGTTTCCTAATATTAGTATTTTTAGCTTAAAGTCTAGGTAAAAAATAATAACTTTAGGATTAAAAGGTATAAGACTAGCTTACTAAAAACCTACTTATATATTAATTTTACTTATTAAAGTAAAAAATATTACTTTTAAAATAAAAAAATATTATTTTTAGTAATATATATAATTTATATTTATATTATTTTCTTAATCTTTTTACTATATAAGTACTTTAAAAGACTTAAATAGCTAATATTAAAAGGCTAAAGCTTATATAATAAGTAAAATATTATTATTATAATATTAACTATTGTAGATAAATATTAGAGTTATTAGGTTAACCCTAATAACTTATTACTAGTAAATCCTTAGATATTTAGCTATAGATTCTCTAAGGATTTATAGGTAATAAGTTAGTTATTTAACTAATAAACCTATAATAATTATCTTTCTTTTCTTTATATATAATAGAGAACTATAGTTACCTCTATTATTTATTAATTACTACTAATATATATAGTTAACTATATTAACTTATCCTTTAGTGTTACTAACACTAATTAGTAGTTAACTTTACTATTAACTATATAGGTTAACTTTACTATTTAAACTATAGATTAGTAAAGTCTATAAGAAGAGGTAATTATTACTAGTTAATTATTTATATACCTAAAGTAAGTAAGTACTAAAAAACACCTTTATAAATACTTTTACTATAATAGTTTATACTAATTACTTATTATAATAGGTTAATTAATAGATCTATAACTAGTCTTCTTAACTAGTAAAAACCTTATTAATTTATGTCTATTATATAAGCTTTATTACCTTTAAAGAAGCGCTTTTAACTATAAAAAACCCTTTACTTTATATACCTATAGCTAACTAGTAATTATTTACTATATCTTATTTATTATAAGCTTTTTAGCTTACTAACTTCTTTTTTTTATATATATACTCCTTTTACTAAGTAATAGCGTTAATAAGTTACTAATATAATAGCCTATTATTTTTTTTTTTTACTAACTAATAGTATTAATAAGTAGCTAATATAATAGCCTATTATTTTTTCTTAAGTTATTTACTTATAAGAGTATATTTTTCTTTAGCTATTTATACTACTAGTAGTAATCCCTCTAATAAATATATATATCTTTTAGTCTACTAAAAGAAACACCTATATTTAAGAGGTTATTAGGCTAATAGAGGGTAATAATAAATAATACTATGCCTATAAGTAAAAGACCTAAGCTAAGATAAGTAAATATAATAAGCTTATAAGTAAGTAAGGCTTATAGGTTATTATACTTTTACCTATAAGGTAATAAAAAGAAGTTTATAGTAAGTATAATATACTACTTAATATAAAGTAGTAAGTAGTAGTAATTAATAATATATTTACTATACTTACTAACTTTATATAGTATATTCTCCTATAGTAATAAGGAAAAGACTATATTAAGAAGTTACTAATTAACCTTATAAGTAAGTAATAAGCTTTTATACTTAACACTATTACTATATTTTATATTAGTAGTTATAAGTACTATAACTATATTAGTAGTAAATTACTTTACTATGCCTATAAGGATTTTAGTAAATAGTCTATAAATAACTTTAAAGTAATTAACTAAAAGGTTCTAATAAGCCTATATAACTTCTTTATTAATTATAGTATATAGGTTAACTATAATAAACACTTATTAATTACTTAATATATATTTAATACTCTTTAATAGGAGGAAAGTGCCTACTAGACTAATAAGATAATTACTATTATTAAAAGATTATTATATAACTTTAAACTATACCTTAAAGACTTTAACTTTATTAAAAATATCTAAGGTTATAATATAATCCTATATAGTAAAAAACTAGCTAAAGTATACCTATTATAGGTAATATAAGTAGTAGTAAGTAATAAGATAATATCTATTAATATTAGTAATATATAGCTAGGAAAAAGGACTACTAGCTAGCAAGGTAAAGAGGCTAGATATCTAGCTAGCAGTAGCTATATAACTAGACTAACACCTCCCCTTAGCTTTACTTAGCTAGACTACTATTATATATAATATAAATTCTCCCCTTAAATCTATATTTATATAGCCTTATTTAGTAATAGAAGATCCTCTAAGAGCACTAAAGGCACCTCTAATAAAGACAGAGGTAAAGTAGTTATTTTTATAGTAGGTATTAGTATAGTAATAGTAGTAAGCCTTCTTATAAAACTCCTTATAGTAAAAGTAATTAGTAAAGATAAGCTTAAGATAAGTAAAATAATACTTACTATTAGTATAATTAGTACTATAATAAGTATATTTATCTTTTTTAACTTTAATAAAGGTAGCTTTATTAAATATAATAAAGCTAATAGTATTAACTTTATAATAAAGGTTATTAAGTAGATCTTAGAGCTTAGCCTCCTAAGGCTTAATAGTAGTATACTTATTAAAGATCCTAAATAAAGTACTATTATTATAAATTAAGTTTAAAAGAAAGTAAAAGTATATAGCCTTTTAGTTAGTAATAAGTTTATTAATACTTTAGCTTATAGTATAAAAGGTCTTAAGATACTTAAAGAGATCCTTAGAGTTATTAATATTAAGGTATCTATAGTTATAAATAAGGTTAATAATAGTATTACTAGACACCTAAGGGATAATAGCTTTAAGCTTACTTATAAGCTTATAAAGGCAGTAGCCCTTAGAGGTCTAACTAGAGCCCTTAAGGTAAAAAAGGATAGGCCTAATACTATTAATAATAATACTATAGGCTAAGGCTTAGCCTTTTTACTACTACTTATAGTTATTAGTAAAAGTAAAGATATTAGATTTAGTATACTTAAGAAGGTTATCCTTATTAAGAAGGGCTTTAATAGTAAGTAGCTAGTAGTAATAGTTCTTTTTACTATAAAGAATAAAAAGGCTAATAAAGTAAAATATAGCTAGAGCTATAGTTATTAATTAGTAAAAATAAAAGACTTTTATTATAATAGGTTTATTATTATAAGGGTAAAAAAATCCTTATTATAGTAAAAGTAAGAACCTTTATTATAGTTACTTAACTAGGCAAAAGTACTAGTTAGTTATAAGTAAAATTAGTAAAAATATTTATTATAGTTAAGATTAATAAAGATATTTATTATAGTAAAAAGAAAGTCTAAATAGCTTTAATAGCATTAGAAAAGGTAAAGGCCTAGGCTTATAACCTATAGGTAATATAGGTAGTAGTAAGTAATAAGACAATATCTATTAATATTAGTAATATATAGCTAGGAAAAAGGACTACTAGCTAGTAAGGTAAAGAGGCTAGATATCTAGCTAGCAGTAGCTATATAACTAGACTAACACCTATTACTAGTAATTACTTATTAGACTTCCTATAATAACTTAACCTTTACCTTACTACTGCCTTTATTAACACTAAAACCTTAAGTAATAGCTAAAATCTATAGCCTATATATAATAACTACTATACTACTATAGAAGCCCTTATTAACTATAGTAATATTAATAATATTATTAAGGCTAATACTAAAGTAAATAAGTAACTTTATAAAGATATACTTTAATAACTAGGCTATAAAATACACTAGTAGCTAGTATAAGACTATTAACTTAAAATTACTATTATTCTATAACCTTTATATCTAGGTAAGTATAATATAAGACTACTATAGAGTAGTAATTTAAGTAATACTTTAAAGTAAACTATAAAAGTATTATACCTTTATACTTTACTAATAGGTAGGTAATTTTAATACTTTAATAGTAAAACTTAAAGAATAATTTAAAGATAATAAAGTATACTTAGCCTATATTACTAAGCTTTACTATATATTATTTAACTTAATTACCTATAAAAACTATAGTAAAAATAAGCTTAAGATTCTTAAGTTACTTATTAAAAAGGTTACTAAACTAGTTAAAGTATTTACTTATA